TGTTTGTCACCTAGAATTTTCACGAAACCCTCAGCGTCCAAATTCGTCTTAGCTCGGCTGTTGGCCGAAAATGGGAACTTTCCAATGTTATATTCGACGCCCTGCAGATAAAAAAGACGAAAAATTTACCAAGGTAGGAAAACCGATTCGCGAAGATCACCTGGAACTCATTCCCATTACAAGATGACAAAACCTCAATTTTCGGTACTGTATCACAAAAAAGCAAGAGAAAGATGAAAACAAACCTCTTCCTTGAGATTCTCCTCAGTCTTGCCAACCCAGGCGACCTCAGGATGCGTGTAGATAACAGAAGGGATGCAGTTATAGTCAATGTGCACAGGTGCACCCGTAAGGCCTTCCACGCATACAATCCCTTCGTCTTCAGCCTTGTGGGCCAGCATCGGACCGTGAATGCAATCCCCAATTGCGTAAACGCTGCAATAAAAAAACCCAAATTATGACTTTAAAATTCTGAAAAGCAAAAATATGAAGACATCATTTTTTTCGAACGTTCAACGCATGTGTCACTACCCGAATTTCTGAAGAATGTCAAGGTGGAATAATTTACTGTACAGATGAAGGTTCAGAAACGGCCTTGATTCGTCGCAAAAACAAAGGCCTTTCTTATAGTGAGGTTAACATTTGAAAACAACTTCAATCGTAACCCCCGACAACGAAACAGCCCTTCGAACATTCTGCTGATAACGATACTGCAGATGCTGAGATCGGGTGCATTTACCCACGTTTTTTTTCAACAGATTCTTTTCTAGGTTATAATTTACAGTGGACACCACATTAAAGTATTATGCGACGAATTGAAAACTAAATGTCATTTTGGTCGTCATCCAAAACTAGAATGGTGCACCAATAAAATCAAAAAATGGCACTATTCGATAAGCTCATTAAAACAGAACTCGCTTGCGGGTGAAAAAATAAAATAAAATTCTCTGCATACCAAAAAAAAATCATTCTTTTTCTGGTAATGAAAAAATATCAAACCTTGGGATAACTGTCTGAAAGCGCGAGTTGACAGGAATTCGTCCCTTATTGTCACGTTCGATCCCGATGTCTTCCAATCCCAGGTTCGTGGTATACGGCCGTCGACCAATGCAAACCAATAACGTATCGCAGTTCAGCTAAAAATAAAAAAAAACAACCCGAGAAACGTGAAAGAGCAACACTAAACATTTTCATCGACTTCCTACATCTTCCTTCTTTGAGGGATCCTTCACTGATTCGGTGTGAACCGTGAGGTTGGCACCAGACCCAGATGCACCGGTAACTTTCGTATCCATTTTGAACTCCAAACCTTGCTTTTGGGCAATACGCTGAAAACCCTTGGCAACCTCCATATCGATACCCACGCCTCCAATGCTGCTCATGAACTCCACCATCGTCACCTTGGCACCGAGTCGACACCAAACCGAACCCTAGAAAATTAACATAAAAATTCAAACAAATAGACGAATCTGGTTTCATATGAAGAAAAATTTCACCGTCCACGAAAACCTTAATATTTCAAATATCCAAGGAATTTTGACAGCGTGATAAAATGGAAAATGCCTGGCATCAATTGGATAAGATGCCCTTTGCGCTTGAAAAGAACGGAGAAATTGTTTACCTCTTCAGGGCACATCTTAGTTCGATTTTTGAACTACTGTAAAACTCTAATAGGCAATGGAGGGATAAGAATGCTTTGTTCTAATATGTTCGCTCATCATCTTTCTAATTTTTGATCTACATTTATCGTTGCCCTGGGATGAGGTTAGGACTGATTTCCTCACATCTTTGGAAATGAAAAACTTGATTCCCTCGTACAGAAAAGGTCAAACCATTTTCATTTGTTTACCCAGCGTAGAAACTTGAGACAGTACAGTTGATAAAAAACTTGTCATTGTCCCACCTTCCCACAACACAGAGCTCATAATTACATATTTTCAAATTCCAGAAACATTTCTGTTCTTGCGAATCTCGAAGCGCGTGAATTGTACTTTGCAACATCATAAATGAACGAATTACATGGCAGGCGTTTCATCGATGCATAGTTTAAACTTATATTAAATCTTCAGTGGCAGCAACTTTCGTGCGATCTTTCACCAGTATTTCAACGCTGAACAGTATATCAATCTGAGTAAAAAGCACATGAGCAAAAACCTAACTGCCAAACTTCTTCCAATATTTTCAAGACCAATATTTGATCCTTACCAGTTCCAAGCCGATGACACCAGCACCAATCACAACCATCTTTTCCGGTACTTTCTTCAGTGACAGAGCTCCTGTGCTTGAAACAATGTTTTCTTCGTTGACCTGGAATAAATAAAAATGACTTGAGTCTTTTTTATTCAAGGATAGTCATTCAGTAGAACCACAAAAATGTCATGACGTCAGCAATCTTGAAAAGGAAATAAACCTCAATTCCAGCAAATGGTGTAACTTCAGAGCCCGTGGCAATGAGGATGTTTTTCGCCTTCACGACTTCTGAGGAACCGTCAGCCTTGATAGCAGTGACCTCGTTTGCTCCAGTGATCTTTCCATGACCCTTGATGTGAGTCACCTTGTTGTTCTTGAAAAGGTAGGCAATTCCGCTTGTTAACGCTTTTACTGCACCAGATTTCTGCTCCATCATTTTGGGAAGATTCAGCTTCACATTTTGCACTGAAAAAAAAGTACACTGATGAGTTCGAGAAAGCAAAGAAACCGCGAAGATTCTTTCCACAAATGGTGAGATAAGTAAACAATTCTTGAACATTTCCTTCTTTAAAAAAAAACTAAAAACAATACAGTGATGAAATTGACTTGAACAAACACATATAAAAGATATTTCATGTAATTCAATACACTTCTCTCGGCAATCAGATTCCACTCACCGTCAATCCCTCGCATTTCGAAGTCCTTGGAATGAGCCTGATGATACAAGTGGGAATTATGAAGCAGGGCTTTCGACGGGATGCATCCGACGTTAAGGCAAGTGCCTCCCAAGGTATCATTCTTCTCTATGCAAACAGTCTGTAAATAATCGAAACGAGATTACAGGTGACTTCATGAAATGCCAGAAGAATTCACACCACAACAGCGCCAACCGGAACTAAGAAAGTAAAATCAACAAGTAATAGATCTGATTTTAAACATTCTTTCAAGTTGGCAAGTCTTGAGAGCATTCGACAATAAATTCTCACGACGACGTGATTCTTGCTGAAAATCAGGGCGATTCCGTTAGTTTTTTTTTTTACTTTTTTATCTCAAAAAATGCAAGATTATCACGAGATATTTTTAAATTAACACCGTTTGTGCTCAAATGCAAATCCAGAATGAACCAAATGAATTTCTTGATTTTACAGCTGCAAGAAGTCAGCAGGTGATAACTAAAATTTGGGCTCAAATGTAAGTTATCATAAAAATTAAAAAAGCATCTTCCGAACAGTTTCTCGAACCTTCATTCCTAGCTGCGCTGCCTTGATAGCGGCGACATAGCCTCCAGGCCCAGAGCCAATCACGACCAGGTCGGCTTCAGTCCCACTTGAATAGTTCCTACCAACGACATGGTAAACACTTCTTCCCGATGAGTGGACCTTTTCGAAGAAAGCAATACCATTCGTATACCGAAAATGCATCCAAAAATCATGGTCACACACCTTGTTGAAAGCGGAGACGAATCGTTGCAACGGCATTTGCTTCATGTTTCCCTTAAGCGTGCCGAACACAATCGCAATTTTAAATAAATCCTGAAATATATCAAATTTCAGTAACTACTAAAAGGTCTTTCGAACGCAGGAGACTGAAGTACAACGTCTATACACTATATACACTTTAATGTGTCGTTTCTTACTATTCCCTCCTTTGTATGCCACTAACAAACAGCCGTGATAACCGCAAATGCCTCAGCTATCACGAAAACCCATACCACAGATACATCACAATACTCCGCAATCACCCATGTAGGATCGAATGAGAAGTTCAAGTTCGGTACAGTCGAATTCAAACGTTGTTCCGGACAACGAACTTTTGCAGATCAACGTTAGAAAACTTGACCGAGTAACAAAAAGTATGTCATCAGCTCAATGGCGAACAAGTCATAGTTAATTTCCCTCAAGCGCCCGATCTTCTCAACTTTTCGGTTTGTCCTTCCATACAGGTGTCGCCTGAATCTGGTTGCTTTTAATTTCGTTCATGTCACTTAAATTCAGGTTAGGTCACATAGATTTTATTAGGATAACCGAAGATAGTTTTCTGTCAGTCCAGGTTATATTCTGGTCAACTTTTACATTCAGGGGACACCTGCTTGAAATTCCAGGAAGTAAGATCGGGCGTGAACTTGAGAAAAAGCAATAACCCAAAATCAAAACGGAAGCTATAAAAATCTGCCGTTCACACTTGCACGAAAACAAAATTCTTACAAAAAAAACATTCAAGCAAGGACGAACAGAGAAACGTCAATTACATTGAAATGTCAAGTCTCAACTGCACGTATCTGGCTCAAACAACAGACGATTCAGAAGTTGCATCCCAGTCCGAATGACTTTCGTTCAGTGCCGAGGAGAAATTTCACTCTCATCCAAAGCGCAGAAGGAAAAAAGAAAACTTTTTTTGCGAGTTTCATCAATGTCCCTCACGGCCAATGCCTCCACTCGCTTCCAGTTGATCGAGGGTCTTATTCAAATCCCCATTGTTGTGCTTCAGCAACTCCGTCAGCCAGCCGCCTTCATCCGTAAATCCCAATTCTTTCATGATTTTCAGGCATTTCATCACTGCATCGCTCAAGTTTTCTGGAAAACATAGCCAAAAATTGGACTGAAGGCATCCTAAAAAACGCGTCAAGGCGCAAGATAAAATAAAAACTAACGGTATTAACTACGCGAAGCACAGAACCACCAAGAAAATATCAAGATATTTTCATTTAAAATTTTTAAAATTATAATTATTCAAAAGTATATCCTATTTTTATAAGCTTTAAACCAGTAACAAAACTATAAAAAATTTCACGTTTCTCTGACATTGAGGAAGAGTTTTGAAAATGCGAACAGTACTTTTGTACTTGATCCATCGAGTGTTCTGAACCATCCGGTAACAAGTGGTAAAAGTAACGGACGCACCGAAAAAACCGTTAAGTTACAATAAATCAACAACGAAAAAAAAAAAAAATTCATGGGTTTTGGCTAAAATAGAATCACCAGAAACGGCTTCATTTGGTTCGACCAAATCAGTCCAATCCCCATCCTCGATTTGAGATTTCTCTTCTTCGTCATCCAAGACTAAAACTTCGGCGTCTACAGACTTCTCTTCGTCATTCAAAGCAACAACGGCAGTTCCGGAAACAGCACCCGCACGTTGTTCTTCCGTTTCCTTCTCGTCCATAGAGAGCGTCGTATCCGAACTTCCTTCCGCTATTTTGAAACGAAGTTTCGTTAGTCGACCGAAAAATTCGCAAATTCAACAAATATTAAATGAAGTAGAGTACAGTACTGTTATCCGAAACACGCAAAAAAAAAATATTTCCACAATTTCTTCTCCTACAGGCGTCATCCAATATTTTCACCCCCGAAGTTATAAACCATATTGTGCAAACGAATAAATAACGAATTAATAACAGTAGAACTTTGATCATCGATCAGAAATATACAAAGAGAGAACGTTTCAAAGATTGAGAATATTTCGGGAGAAAATATTCCATCTCATTCAACTCTATCAGAGCGGTTTTTATTTTTCCAATTATTAATTAATGCAGAGGATTCAAAAATCAATATTTTAAAAACATTATTCCAACAACATGAATTTCAAAAGTGAATAAATTTTTCGAGAACCATCACAAAGAGACCATTTAATGTCCTTTGAGATTTCTCTTCTTCGTCATCCAAGACTAAAACTTCGGCGTCTACAGACTTCTCTTCGTCATTCAAAGCAACAACGGCAGTTCCGGAAACAGCACCCGCACGTTGTTCTTCCGTTTCCTTCTCGCCCATAGAGAGCGTCGTATCCGAACTTCCTTCCGCTATTTTGAAACGAAGTTTCGTTAGTCGACCGAAAAATTCGCACATTCAACAAATATTAAATGAAGTAGAGTACAGTACTGTTATCCGAAACACGCAAAAAAAATATTTCCACAATTTCTTCTCCTACAGGCGTCATCCAATATTTTCACCCCCGAAGTTATAAACCATATTGTGCAAACGAATAAATAACGAATTAATAACAGTAGAACTTTGATCATAGATCAGAAATATACAAAGAGAGAACGTTTCAAAGATTGAGAATGTTTCGGGAGAAAATATTCCATCTCATTCAACTCTATCAGAGCGGTTTTTATTTTTCCAATTATTAATTAATGCAGAGGATTCAAAAATCAATATTTTAAAAACATTATTCCAACAACATGAATTTCAAAAGTGAATAAATTTTTCGAGAACCATCACAAAGAGACCATTTAATGTCCAAGATTGCACTTGTGGCCCAATTTTTGCGAATTCGTATCATTCCGAGTTTTTATTTCAAGATGGTTATTGCATTTCAAAACTTCGTCGGAACGACACAAATTTCATAGTCCAGAAAAAAAAAACGGGATATTATCATATCATTCCGGAAAGTATCAGCGATTTTGCAATGGAATTTCCTTACCGTTTTCAGACGAGTCACTCGACGAAACTTCTGCTTCCGGGATCACGTCATTGCGCTGTTCTGAGTGGATAGTTGACGGTGCCTCTTTCGCAAGGGCCTCCGTTTTTCGCTCATCTTTTTCATCCTCGCCGTCCGAATCAAAGCCGACGACACTAAGGGCTGTCCAGAAATTTTTCAGCATATTCCCCACCTGTTCTTGGGGAACGCGGAAAGAGTCCATCCGGAATTTGCATCCGTCAACATTCTAGAGAGAAAATACGCAATAGGCTAAAAATACATTGAGTTCACGATTTTAAATACGACAAAAATATGATTCCCATCATTTTTTTTTCAATGAGAGGGAGGACCCTTTATTATTCAAGGGTCCTCCAAAAAAAACCAATTAAATTAAAATAATCGACCACCGTATTTACTTAAGTACCACACAAACCTTTTTCTCAAAGTTGAGAGGGAAATAGGGGTGCGCATCACACGCGGGCACACATTTTTCAAAAATTTTTGGAAATTTTAGGTGTGCATTACGCTTGATTCCAATCGGAAGTACAGTATAACAGAAAACTTTTTTTCAACTCCAACAATTGAATTGAAACTGAATTCAACTATTTTATCCAAATTTAAGCGTTCTTATTTTTAAAATACATTACAGTAATGTGCTGTCAGAGTCACTAAAAGTTAGGTTCACGTCTTACGCAGGGATACGATTTTATCAAAAATTTCAACTGAAAAACCAAAGGGCGCGTCTTATCTGAGGGCGTGTGGTACTCAAGTACGGTACTTCTGGGATTCAGAGTCACTAAAAGTTAGGTTCACGTCTTACGCAGGGATACGATTTTATCAAAAATTTCAACTGAAAAACCAAAGGGCGCGTCTTATCTGAGGGCGTGTGGTACTCAAGTACGGTACTTCTGGGAACTCTCGCATAGCAACGATGCAGCAAATAAACGGGACAGCGACTTTGAATCGGCAATTACCCGCTCATCAGCCCTTTCGTTTCCCCGTTGTTCCAATTCCAAAACTCCGCCCGATTTCCGCACCACCATGAAAGGACCAGCCGGGTTTGCACGAGGGTCTGTAGCAAGCAATGGCAGTGGAGCACGTAGCATTTGATGCGCAGCGTGTATCTTTCCACTAGCCTCGCATTTCTGGCACAAATCGTAGTCCGGACACACGAGGCACTTGTAGCGGAAACCACGAACACGTTGGTTACACCTAAATGNTGAAAAACCAAAGGGCGCGTCTTATCTGAGGGCGTGTGGTACTCAAGTACGGTACTTCTGGGAACTCTCGCATAGCAACGATGCAGCAAATAAACGGGACAGCGACTTTGAATCGGCAATTACCCGCTCATCAGCCCTTTCGTTTCCCCGTTGTTCCAATTCCAAAACTCCGCCCGATTTCCGCACCACCATGAAAGGACCAGCCGGGTTTGCACGAGGGTCTGTAGCAAGCAATGGCAGTGGAGCACGTAGCATTTGATGCGCAGCGTGTATCTTTCCACTAGCCTCGCATTTCTGGCACAAATCGTAGTCCGGACACACGAGGCACTTGTAGCGGAAACCACGAACACGTTGGTTACACCTAAATGACAAAAAAAGGTTCTGTGAAAAATTTCTTTAAAGCTGAAGAGAGACGGAAGAGAGAAAAAATATGATATAACGAACCCATCACAAATGACATTCATGTGCTCTTCTCCAATGCACTCCTCTCGGTTTTCCACAACGGTTTCCGCGCTGCATTTCTTCTTTTCGGTATCCACCGGCAATACCAGGAGTTTCACTTTCCGAGGCCGTAAATCCGTCGATTGCGGTATCAAATCCAGCACGGACTTTAACTCGTCAGCTGAGCCGATAACTATGATGTCTCCATCTTCATCTGGGAGAAATAAAAAAAAAAAACTTCTGATCATAATTGCAAAGCAAAGGCAAGGATTTTCAGACGTCCGTTCCGTACCTTTCCACGCGATATTAAAGTCATTTTCAGTCAAACCCGGAGCCCAGGTCAAAACTTTAGCTTTCAAAGCGGGGAACACTCCTGCACTGTCGTCTCCGTTGGGGAATGAAATGATTCGATTTTCATTTTTGTCCCCAACACTCAGTTGCAACACAAACACCGCGTTCTCAAGCAAGTTACACATCTTTCCTGAATTAAATAAACTATTAAATTATGCAGCATATGATCAAGTTAAGTGACACCGGAATATTGAATGCCCAGTAAATCGAACTAGCAGTTTTTTTCTTGAATACATCGAAAAATATTTCACGCACCACGGGGAACCCCTGCGAGAAATTGAGCATGAAATCACATTTTTTAATGTTTTCCGAATCACTTTCGACTTGGTCGTGAAAACGAAGAGCATCACAAAAAATCCTGATTAGACGACCCTCAAATCAGACATCATCAGAGAGATTCACGTAAAAACAAAATGACTCACAATCCGCGAGGCCCCCAAAATAAGGTTCTTTAAACAATTGAATTTCACAGCATAGATGAAACGATCACTTCAACGCGCAGAAAATAAATTGGCGATTTTTCAAGAGTGTACAACTAATGTTTACCACAGTTTCGCTTTTTCTTTCAATATCGAAAGGAGGTCAGTTTTAGTTCAATACTGAAAATGTCATCACAAGACACAGCTCTTGTCGATCAGTGCTCCAATTGTCCCGTAAAATAATAGACATGGAACATCAAAAATTTTCCACAATTCATCAATGTATTTTCAATCATCCAGGATACTCCTAAATTCTTGTTTTTCTCCTTCGCGCTCTCCGAAGGAAATTCAAGCGTCGTCTTTCGATTCATACTTAAGAATTCAGGCCCCATTGCGTCACATTTTCTGGCGGGAAGGAAAAACTACAGTACTTCAAACATTTACATGATAAGTAAGAGGAAGAGAAACAGGAATTTCGAAGTTCCAGGGGCATTCTTCCAAATCACAATGAGAAAGTGGGGTACATTTATGAACACACGAAATAAGAAATAGTCAAAGAGGTCTCAGTTTCTATGAATTGTTCTAGACCTTATCTCATAACGTTCTAGAGACTGCTTATTTTCGAGAATTTTGTTCCGCAACGTCCTACACTTTTTCTCAAGCTCTCCCCGCTCCTTCCGAGCATCTCGAATTTTCTTCTTCAAAAGTTGTGTTTGACGTTCAATCAGGGAACGCTCCATATTACAATTCTGTCGCTCCCGTTCGATCGTGTCAATATCCCTGATTCCGATACTAGCGCGTCGATCGAGTGTGGCTCTTCGAAGACGCAAGCTCTCCATTTGCTTCTGAGCCTCGACCAAACTCTGTTCAGGAGCTTCAAGAGCCTTGAGAAAACCTTTCGTTTTACCCAGAATTTCTCGCCTGAAAAAAAAGAAGAAAAAACAATGTGCATCTACGATCACGATTTTCATCGAAATATTCGGCGTCGTTCTATCTTCGAAATTTTAATAAAACGTAGGTTTTATACACAACCAAAACCGCAGTCACTCTGAGGATGCAGAAAGGGTGGTCGGTTCAAGTCAGGAAACCAAGCCTCAAATTTTCCATTTGTTATTCAATAATACACAACATGATTCGGGAAGACGTGTGTGATTATCTACTCACCGAAAACGATAAGTAGCATTCGAAACTTTCTAAAAAAAAGTCCTTCTCTGAAATATTGCTCAGATCACAGGGGAAAACGAATTAAATTCAAGGGTGATTAATTTCAAAGCTGTTTTTCACGCGCTAATAGGACCTTGTTTTTGATTCGAAAACGTTTGTTCACACTTTCCTTGAATTGATACCTGCACGGCGCTGAAACATTGAAAAAAGCTTTGTTCGTCAAAATTTCGGCGGTGGGTTATGGTACTGTACTGTATTTGAACGATGCCGAAAATGAAAACGTTTGTTCACACTTTCCTTGAATTGATACCTGCACGGCGCTGAAACATTGAAAAAAGCTTTGTTCGTCAAAATTTCGGCGGTGGGTTATGGTACTGTACTGTATTTGAACGATGCCGAAAATTCGCGAAAAAAATTGTCCACAATTACATTTCCGTCACTTGCATTCCCTTGATTTCCTGGACTCGTTTCAGGTCCTCTTCACTAGGATCACCTTCGCCGAGAAATAATCGACGCTGACATGAATGAGTAGTTGACCCTTCTTTCAACTTGCAATCATGACCACATCTATAAAATATTGAAAATGTTCTCAGTAAGTACATCATTTTTATTTAATTTTTCAGCCTCATTCAGATACGCGAGCATTTTTCAATCAATAACACGGCCAACAAGTTTTCTGAGGGCAATTAAAATCACAGGATGGAGCGATTAATCCACGCGTTCCTAGAAACAAAAAGTGAATACTTGTAGAAGATATGAACACAATCATGTGATTTGAATAGCTTTAAAACAAGATTAGATCAGAATTCTAGCACCATTTCGGCAACTGCAGCAAAAAAAATAATTGCAAGAACGCTCAAATAAATAACATGTAGACTCACGGAAATACCGCCAGGCATTTTTCATGGAACACGTGTCCACAACAAATCTGCACGGCTATGGAGGATGCGAAGCCGAACGTAAAACAACCAGAACAAGGTATCTGAGTCATTTTTCCAAAACACAAGAACGGGTTTTCCGAAAATCACACCAGATAATCACGTGTTTCACCTAAACATGCAAGAGAAAACCTCATAAGAAAGTCGGCGAAGTTTTTATAGACGTTAGGTGACTCAAAAACTTAAACATACAACTCTTTGTATCGTATATTGGAAAATCCTTCACAGGAGTCATCCGCAATCGCTTGTACACACAACACACAGGATAAGTCAACGTCAAAAACTATTCAAGCTCAAAAACAGAAAGATCAAAAAATTATTTGCATACCTGACTTCACATAGACACGATAAACTTATGCATCATTCAATGAGATCTTGTTCAACTCAGATCAAAGCATCCTGATCGCGAACAAAAGATTATACGAATACCTTTCCATTACTGCTCATCGCTTGAATTGTCGTCATCTTTGGTTCCCCACTTGTAAGCACAATACCTGAAACATTATCAAATAATTTAAAATTTTGCAAGAACATCACGAGTAAGATTTGAACCTGTTCTGCGAGGCTGAATTTCGTGAGGAAACTCTTACCTTCCTAAGCTGAAGTATCAAAATAAAATTGGTGCTGTACTACAGAGAAACAGAATCGTTCGAAAGTTCGTTTTTAACCATGCCTTGAAGTCTTAGCAATTCTGAAACTAGACGTGAACTCAAAAACGAATATCACGACTTTGACAAAAATTTCAATTAATCCCGGTTCCTGCAAAATTGTGGGGTCCACAAAAAATCCATGTATTACTGAATAGTGCATTAAAATAACCAGATTATTTACCTCCTTAATTTCCGGCGAATGAGCGTCGGAGACGGAAGGTGTGCAAGAACATCAGGCGGAACTCCAAGCTGCTCAATATACCTCTGGATTGCTTCGGTTGACTCTGTTAGGATCGGGGTCTCTTCGACAGCTTGCTTCATCATGCTGTATACACGTTTGGCAGCTACTCTTTCAAAATTTGGAGGATGTGAATGCCTAAAAAAAATTAAATTAACATACAAATTTGATTGATTTAGCAATAAGAAATATTCCGCATTCGAGCATTCACTATATCGTCACTGGAGGCGATTCTCGCAACAAAGTTTTTTCCCTTCGATTTCGAACTGTTCGCATACGTTCCTGATTTAATCCAAAAGATTCTTGGGACATTTTGAGCAAATAAGGCAGCATATAGCAGCTGTATTTCAAGATTATCATTACCCAACCCCACTCCGGTGGCTTCAAATTTGTTTCAAAGGGGCATTCACGGAAATTTTAGAAAAATTTCTCCTTATACAGAAAAATATGGACGAAATTAATGAATTCATCAATTCGTAATGAAGATTCAATTTTTCCGTTTGGACTTGAAAAAGTTCTAACTTATATAAATATGAAACAGAAAAAGATCCAAAAATTGCTAACCCTGGGTCCTCCGTGAGACAAACACTTCTCGTTGCATCAAGATGCACTCTCCCGTAACATGGAAATCGTTTGTTGTCAGCACAACGCCAACTGGAACCATCTAGGAAGGGGTAAAAAAGACATGCTGTAAATCGAAAAATTACAAAAATAACTTGAAAGAATGCGAGAAATTTCTTAGAAGTCTGGCCAGCACAGTATTCGATATGATACTGTAGAAACTTGCACGACTTTTGAGAAATGCCTCTTTTGAATAACGTACGTTTCGACCTACTTTTCTTTCCTTTTTCGCATGTATACGAATAACCGTCGAGGACCAGAATATCGGCATTACGCTGCGACTTTACGAATTCGAGTTTCGATGAGAGCATGTCTTCATTATTCCAGCTCTGCAATGCAAAAAAAGAACTGAAATGTGGGTTTAACCTTATTACGACTCTAGAAAATTGAAAAATTACAAGCGTCGATAACGGGAAAAGATCCGGTTCTCACATATAAATTCATACCAGAACGCCAGATAGCTGAAAAAAAATTGGTAGCTATACGGACTTGAGATTACTGTATACTCACCGCAGAGTTTTCTTCTGTGGTAAATTCAGCATCAAGGTTTTCCAGTTTTGTCTAAGATCAAACAAAGAACAAGCTTTAAAAAAGAGGAATGAGCGTCGAAGGGGGATATGTAACTCACGGAACAAGATTGAATCGTGACTTCCTGTGAAGGCGCAGACGATGCTGATTTGCTTGGTATTGCAAGTTTCCGACGACGACGGCGGGGCGTAGTTCTCCACTCTCGGGTTACTGGTTCCTTATCCTGCGCCTCTGACAATGCTCTTTTCCTTGTAACGATTTGGGATCGTTCGGGCTCCACAACTGTCGTAAGTTTGGTTTGGCGTTCGTTACCTGTTCCTTCCTTAAGCCCACGGATCTCAAGCCGGCGAGACAGGAGCATGAATTCCTCCAATTTATCTGAGGAAACCACGGCTTCGCCAGTGTACATAAAGTCGATTACAGCTTCCACAACTTCTGGACAGCCATCTACGGTAATGACTGTGCGAGGGGTTGTTGTGGACAACTCCACACGGGTAAATAATCGATCGAAGAATGCTGAACACGCTGAGAGAATCAGCCGATGCACCGGTACGACTAGATCTCCAGCTGCGAGAAAAGCATCAGAAAACCGATTGTCACTTTGAAACTTCGCGATGAACTCGAACGTTTGAGATGCATGCCCTTTCCAATCCAGGGCCAAATCTGGCTTCATTTTAATGTCTCTAGAAAACAAAAATAGGCAGCGTCAGACGGTAGTGGGGATTCGTAGTTCCGGTGCGGCAAATATCCTCTCAGAACAACACCACCACTCTTCGGCGTCAGATATGTAAGTCACTTCTCTTCAAGAACCTTCGATCGCGCGACACTGTTCGAATCAGTTTCAGGCTTGTGGCGAATTACCTCACCTCACCAGTGTCAATCTCAAATGACAAACGCGTTCTGAATTGAATTGCGAATTCAGTTCGACAAATACATTACATAACGACACACCGACTTTCGAACTCCGCCCAGAATCTCTACCCCTTTCGGATCCCCCGCAGACTTGCAATAATGGCAAGTTCGTCAGAAGGTTCGGTTCGTTCGGATAACTTGCTATTCGGGTATACACTACCTAATTACCGTACTGTACACTGTACAAGTGTATGCAGGGTTCAAGTGTGCACCGCGAATACAAAAATCTGAATAATCTCTCCACTTCACTACAGGTCAATATCAAGATTATTCTTTTTGATTCACTGAATATTCTGACAAAATACATGCACAGAATGATATTGTTCAGGGAAATCTTAAGAAGTCATTACAGACAAGAATTTACTAATTACAGATTCAGCCTGTTTCCATCTACTTAGATTTTAAGACTCCTTTGTCTTTGCGACAAGCATGTGATCAATGAGCTTCCTCGATCCGTACAAGAAGGATACTATCAAAATCATCTGAAAATATATCCGCTTGGACAATTATTGGAGATGGATAGATTATGTAGCCGGCTCAATGGTGGACTAAGGATAGTCGCATTAAGAAATATGAAAGTCACATGTTTTTTCTATTTCTCTAAAAAAACAATAAGGCTTAATCCTTGCAGGCTTAACTGCACGATTTTAAACCAAGGACATAGCGATTTTTCAAAAGGAACAAAAAAGTGTAGTTCTTGGTGAGCATCAGGTTAAAAAAAACTTGGGAACATTTGTTCATGCAATGCAGAAACGGCATGGAAATTGAACAACTATCATCTTCACCCCACATAATCAACATCAATATTTGTTCTCAAATTTCATTCATGACTATTTTAATCCAAGAAATCATTCTAACACTCTTTTAATAGAAATAATGAGGGTATCCATGACTTGTCCACGGTTCAGCTCACCACGAAATGTATGTGCGTCAGCTGCTTTTCCTTAGCAAACTGCGCCTTGCTGTTGATGAATCCTGGAACCAGTTTGCCCTCGGAAGCTTTCGATTGACGGATTCCGGATGAGAAGCAGGGGTTAGGATTTTGTACCAACTGGATAGGAGTCAGCTATTAGAAACTTGCGCAGAAACTACTGTATATCCTGAACGAATAGAAACTGAAAGAATATGGGCGCTCTGTACCAAGGAATATAAACTTCGAGGTTTCGTTGATTACACTTGAAGAGTAGAGTAGGAAAAACATGTAAAATTCGAAATCATGGAATGGAAAGGATCGGAATCCCTCTAAACCAGATGTACCATCTAGTCATTTCTCCGACTCAGTTGTAGAGAAGTGTGACGCGCTCAAATAAATTTTAATTAAATTGCTTCCCCCGTAAGTTTCCCCCCCTGTTGAAGTGCGAGGCAAGCAGGGACCTGTGTTTTGAATGAGCCAGATTGTTGGCTTGCAGTGACCCTGCTGGTGGAACCGAAATGATTATTCAGTCCAATGATGCATTGCACAGTATCAGTGATACATCATGATTATAAGCTGGAAGTTTCAGGGTTTTGACTTTCGAACAAGAAGTAGGATAATTGCGCTGTTAATTTCAACACATCCCACACAATGTACATGTCGGTGTAGAATGTGTTCCGTGCTTTGCGGCGGCGGTTACTATTTCCAACGATAAGATTTGAAGAAAATCGTGCATTTTCAGACAAAATTGAGTCACCAAAGGGTAATTTCGTTGCGACCAACGAAAACTACCATGACACATTGCGGTCTGTCTTGACGAATGCTGTCAAACCCATTACAACGGACGGATTCGCGCTATCCTGTCCATCTCACCATGAGCGACGTTGTCCTGTCCGTTCAGACATGGGAGAACATTGACGCTGGGATCCCGGTGGATATCAGTGGAGATCTTGATAGTTCCACGTGCCTCGTCAGCTTCCAACAACACTGGAATCAAGCATCAGATATAATCAGGAAGTCATGGGTACTTGAGGCTTCCCGTTCTTTTCCAGCAAAAACTTGTACAGTCTTTAGAAACCATATCGTCCTCAATTTTCGTAGAATCTTCCTGGCGGAGTGAGTCCAGATGACGTATCATGCGTGATAAACAACTTGGAACAGATGGCTTCATTGATCCTCGTAGACGCCCAGCTTCACAAAGACGCACCTGGACCTATTATGGAACTGCTACTGAAAGAAAATATCCTAGGAACTCTGCTTGAATGGAGTTTACAATGCGAAGAATATGCTGTGCCACTAAAACTGGAGCAGCTCAAAATATACGAGCTTCTGTTTAGCCATTCTCATCTCAAATTATGGGGCCATCGAGTTTTGCTCAAGCCGCTGCTTGAGCTCATCAGTTCATGCAAGGATCCAATCAACACAGAAGTCGAGAAGCGTCTGGTTGTTTTATTGAACCAGTTATGCGTGTCACTTATGCAAGACATGGAGTTGCTGAACTTGTTTTTCAGGTAAAGACTTATGCCTTCTTGATTCAAAAAATTAAATGCCACACAGGACGACACGCAGGTCTTATCCTCTTGCCGATGAGCTAAAATCATGTTCATCTGCGAATTCAAGACGCATTTCAACACAGCCCTAAATTTATCCTAAATTGGATGAGGTCATTCTGTTGATTCTCTTCGTGCTTCTAACTTTTACTGATTTTTTAAATATTTTCTATTGAAGCTCAGACTCGCATTGTACTCTGATGATATTGTTTACCAAAAGCAATCGAAGCTGACACCATCGATTATTAAAAAAAACATATTATTTTAGTGACGATTTTGCGCGCTATGACGTGTTTCTGATAGGAATACGTTCGATGTCGAAAAAATTTGTTGAATTCAACTTTATCGTTCTTTCGTTGCAGCGTGAGCCCTGAGCAAGATCCTTCTCGCTTCATTTTATTTTCGCTGCTGATCCCCTTCGTACATCGCGATGGAAGCATTGGACAACAAGCCCGTGATGCCTTGTTGCTTTGTATGGCGTTGTCTCGCAAAAGTGAGAAAATAGCGTCGTATATTGGGAAGCATTCGAGTTTGTGTCCAGTTCTGGCCACGGGACTCAGTGGACTCTATTCTGCGCTTCCTCATCGACTACAGTTGCCTATTGGCGACGGATCGTCCAACTCGTGGCATTGCCTCTTACCGGATGACGGGGACCAAGTTCCCGAATTACAGGTGTTCCTCGAGAGCTTGGATTTCACCAACGCTATTTTCCAGATCTCCCATCCTTTGGTCCAGACTGAATTATTGGAGTACATTTTTCACGGGTGAGGTTCCAAGAGAGTGTTTATTTTCTGGCCGGATATTTCCGTGTCCAACTTGTGTGTCATCTACCTCTGAAAACACTTGCGCTTGAATCGTAGTGTCATTGAAATCTTTACTTGCTCCTCTCACAATTTCCTCTGTTCTCGAGCTAAAAAAAAACACACACACCATAAATTATAAGACTTATGATCTGATCTGAGTTTTCAGAGTCTTAAATGGGAAAAAAGGGTTTCATGGGGTTCTTTGCAATTAGTGTATTTACTTGGATACCATGCTCGCTTTCTGTTTTTAAAGTTACGAGAGAAAAAGAGGGTGCCTGTCATACTGGATTCCAATAGGGAATTTTTAGCCAGTTTCAATCAAAAATTTCGAAAAGGAAGATGAAAAATCATTATTCAGTTTGACTACAATTGAAGGGAAAGTTTACATTTTGATCTATTTCATTTTCAAAGCACTTCAATTTTCAGTGTCTGAAACGGGATATGTTGCGTTTCTTACTTGGGATGCATTATTATCCAAATTTTAGGCTTAAAAATTTAAATGTTTGCCGTACTTCAGAGTGCGTGGTGCTCAAGTAAATTCAGTTTTTCAAATTTTGAGTCATGTGAACTTGCTCTGAGACTCAAGAAGAGAAAGACATTTCGCAAGAAATTGAATCTGTTGCTAGTTGAAGAAAGCTGATGTTCTGCCTCAAAGTTAACTAGGCTGCACAAAGACAACGATTACGAGAATCTGGCTCGTATATTAAAAGGAAACAGACTTTTTTATTTTGATATTCGAGGATCTACAGTAGTTCTATAGGGGATGTTGGAGATACTCGCGGCAAGCAAATGAAGAAATTCAACTGCCAGAATTACATCTTCTGATAACATATCCTTCGAATATTTTCGCAGCAGCAATAAGACCTGTAAAATGTAGATATACTTCTGAGATATTGCTGACATACTGTAGCCTGAAATACCGGGTGTTCCCGATTCCCCCGGAGAGCAGATGATCAGGACGAATTTCATTGAAACCCATTCTTTCTTTTTTTTCAGGTTTTTAGTACCAGTAATGGGTCCTGCCTTGCATGAAATTTATTCCGAAGAAGTTGTTGCGGCGACGGCTTACCTAGACCTGTTTTTGAGGAGCGTGTCAGAACCGAGTCTCGTTTACGTGTTTTTGAAGTTCATTTTTACGTGCAAATACGAGGGCTGCAGGATAATTGATACCATCATTTCCAGGTGAGCTTCGAAAGATCTGTTGATCTAGCGTTCAAGAAACGTGGAACACGTTTTGTGTTCTCTTTGAAGATTGTTGGGATCTGTTTATGTGTTCTTGGAGGAAAGAAACTTGAAATGCGTTTTTTTACTGCAATGCAAACATATTTACGTAGAGGAAAAGTTCCCCCCAAAATGAAAAAAAAAAAATTGTTTTCTAAATTTCGATACTGATGAATTGATAATATCTATTCAGAGGAAAACGACGCAGAAACTGATCCTCTAGCATGAAAAGAGCCTTAAAAAGCAAAGAACGAGCACAATTCTCGCTATGATTTGTGCCGATGATGAAGGAAAAAAAAATCTCTGAAAATTAAGCTCAAAATTAGCCTGTTTTGGATTATGAATCAGAGCAAATTTATATTTCATTTTCTTGAATATAAATAGGTAAATTTGTTTAAGAGCTATCAAAATTTTGAAGAAGTATATTTTTCAAGAAATGTTCGTAGAGGGTCTTCATTTTTATAAATTGTGGTATGCTGGGATGTCCATATGTCGGGACCCATCTGTATTGCATTTCGGGCATTAAAATTTACAGAATTTTTTACGTATTGCTGCGATTATTATGGGATGTTGTCGATGACGCACTGAAATTCCGTGCTTCCTCTCAAATTTATACAGTAAAAGAAAAGATGATGTGATTGACTCATCGAGGTCGTGTCAATGTTTCCACAGGTTGACGGGCTGCAAAGACCGTGCCATGGCGTTAACGACGCTGTCGTTGCTGCGCACGCTGGTGGACCTGAATTGCGAGGACGTGATGCTGGATATGGTGCTGAAACACTTGTTGCCGGGTTCGCACGTGATGGTGTCGCAGCGACGCGGCGTGAGTCGATTAGACGCCCGATCCGCTACCCGGATCCTGAATTTTGTCCCGCGGTGTTGTCGCGGGGATCACGCTTCCGGTGGCCAGGAAAGCAAGGCCAAGCTCGGGGTTTATTTGCGGGAAGCGCGGGGTTGCATCAAGGCGACCATGCTTGCCTGCAGGTCCTGGAGGTTCGGTTACGAACAATGGTAAGTTTTCACCTTTTACTGTACAGATACAGTCGTCGAACCTCTTCAAGTCGAATTTCAAGGGACCAGCAAAACAACAAAAATCAAGTTGGAAGGTTTTGAGTTGAGGAAACGAACGTTTTTGTTGGTGGGAATGAAAGAAGATTTATTGGAATTGGTGACATTCTGGACCTTAAATCCATTGTAGAATGAGTTGACAGGATGCCGAACTTTGATGGAGGCAAGGGTTAATTTCTCTTATTGGTCTTTCACTTCCTTTTAAAACACATTAAGTTGCATTTTTATTGCTTTTGTATTTCCTGTGGCCAAAAAATAATAGCCGAAAGGCCTTGAGAAAATTCGACTTAGGGAGGCTCGAGAGGGAAATCTTTCAATTTATGTAGAATTTTAATGCATTGTTTCAAAGGTAATTCCGATAGTGACTTGGCAAAAATTTTACATGGAATGAATTGTGTTATTTAGGTTCAACTGTATTTAGTTGACCATAAGCAGCACTTTTTCTCCGTGAAATAATGCTGTTCAGCCTATATTCAAGATAAAGTCTCAGACTCGTGTTTACTCGGATGAGAAATCATTCCTGCGAGTTGAAAATTCGTAGAAAATCGAGCATTGTCTAGCTAACTGTAATTCTGAAGCGATGTAATCTTTTGAAGAGTGTGAGAACCCGTCGGTGAAAAATTCACAGACTTCAGTGCGTGAAATTTTTTCAGTCATATTTGGACGTGTAGAGTTTTTTTTATGGGTCTACACATTTCTCCACCTTTTCCCGTTACCTTGAACGAAGGTTCGTCCTTCACTTCGCAGTATTCATGTGCTTTTTTTGAAGAAATGATTTTCAAGTTTCCCAAGTAAGGTTTCAAGAAAGCTGAAATTAAAAATTTTTTTGTGAACTTCCCTCTTGGAAAGGACATCTTGGGTCTTTGGGCAAGTTATTGTAAACTCTTCTTTTGAAATCTCTAACTTTTGAAAACTAAATGGGCTATTTATGATACCTTTAAAAATATTTCAAATGGCACATTTTTCTCAAAATTGCGAGGAAACATGTGATTGCACGTCAATTTTCAAAAAATCTTAGAAGTTGAGGCGCGCGTAAAATTTGAAAATTAAGGGAAATTTTTTTTACTGTAGCTCTTTTCGGATTAAACAATAGAATATTAATAGAATTCCGGTTAAATCTATGTCAAAAGTTGAATTCTGGTGTCCCTTATTTTTTAAATAATTTAGTTTTTCAGTCGCTGAAAATGGGGTCGGTGTCTTACTTGAGTAAATTCGCTACATTGTTTGTGGTCCTTTGAACCATCGTTGATTTTTCAATGTCACTGTCATAACCTGGTCTAATATTAATGAAATGTATTTTCATCAGCAAAAAAAAAAGTAATTGCAGTGAAGATGTATAAAATTGACCTACGGGTATCTCGAGAGTGGATTGAAATTCTTTGATGAGACTTCTGAAAAAGCGTTAAATGGCTTTTTTTTTCTCCCCCTGTTCGTGGCTGCATACCTCTGAACTGTGTCCATCTTTTTTCCAGTGAATCATCTGCAAAAGAGAAGGAACTGAGCTCAGAGTCGACGCTTTTAGACTCCAACTTCAAAGCGAGTCCGATCATAACGCGAACGGGTCGAACCGGAATCGACGGTGACGTGTGGAGGAAGCGCGGGGACTCGTCGTGGACGCAGAAAAGGGCCAAAAGTGTGCCGGGCCTGAATGTCGGTGTAGTGATAACGACGACTTCCGAACCAAATACTCGGTCTCTTCCGCGGTCTGACGTTGACGTGAATGAGATTCTTAGTGAGATTGATGCTGTGGTCAGTGAAATGAATCTCGCGAGTCCGGATTGCGAACAGGATGGGTGAGTAGTTGCATTCTGTCGATACCTTGTCGACAATTTTGTCTTAATATTTTACTGTACTGTACTGTGTAGTGATTTCGCAGTTTTGAAGAGTCCACGTTTGGAGAAAGTTGTGTTAAAATTTTTCATGGAAAGATCCTTTCCTTCTCTCGGCATATACAAATGCGCTAATCCTGTGAACCAAGTGCAGTGATAATATTCAAGAAAAGGGTCATTGTGATCGTGTCAAGCTAAAGCCCGAGGGAATTCCCATGTCCGTGCCTTGTTTTTTTAATGGGGTCTGGTGGGAACTTGCGGAAGTGGCTGATGAGCTCTGAGGAAATGTTGCGTGAAATTCGTTTCCCCTTTCCGACCGCCGCGGCCCCGGATTTGCGGTTCATCTTGCTCGAGTCGGGTTCTTTGACTGCTTGTGTGTGGGATATGGGTAGTAAATTATCCCCATCTGTCTTTTTTTCCGAGGTGGGCAATTGGTTCTCCCTCTAATTGTTTATAAAAAAACCAATTTTGACCTTTTAGAAATTACTGTATTTACTCGAATATAAGCATCTTCCCAAGATTTTCCGTGCAAAAGATTGAAATTCCAATAGTCAGACCTGCCTATTATCAATTAGATCTTGCTTATGTAGCTCTCTCAGATTTTTTATTATTGTTTGAAAAGCTGAGTGATATTCTAGAAAAAATTAGCTTCAATAATGCATGCCAACAGTTACACAAATCTCTTATTTCTGGGAGGTCGATGTGAGAAATTCTTATAAGCAAGCCCCTAGTCTTCGAGCTTCTACAATAAAATAAAAATGGGGGTGCGGATATTCGCGTGAACTCGGTACATATTTTAATTTTTATTATGATTGAAGTAATTTCCTCAAGCGTAAATGAAGTATCTCATCGTAATTTAATGTTCTCTGAAATCAGGTGGGGCTGCACTTGGAATTCGTATTGATCAACAGATGCTCATGGGGGGCTTTTTTAGGTTTTTGTAGATTGTATAGGTTTGCTGCTTTGTGATCGTGTCAAGCTAAAGCCCGAGGGAATTCCCATGTCCCTCATCTTTTTCTCTCGTTTCAATAACGATCCTCTTTTTTGTACTGACGGGCAGGTGTCGCCTGAATCGCTGAGAAACACTAATCATGGAATGAATCAACTGAATTGACTGAATTTAGCCGACACCTCTTTAATGATGAAAGAAGATCATCTGGTTTTTGGACGTTGGGTGTCGTTTAAAATCTGTTTAGTTATAATTGAATGTGAAATGTATCTTTTGTGATAAAACACAGAATTGTCTGGCATCTCTCTCAAAGGTTGGACGTGCAGTCGTTTTTCGATTCCTACCTCTTGGCTCCTTGGAAACAGGATCCGATCGACCCGAACGAAGCCAAAACTTATGACAGCAATAAACCGTCACAATTGGAAGGCTTTACCCCCGTGTCGCCTTTACCCCCGGACATTGGGCCGTTTCTCAACTCCGTTTTCGAGCGACTGGAATGCATGCTGGAAAACGATTTCCGGGTGAACCTCCAGCTGACGGGTCTCGTGTCCAAATTGGCTGCTTTCCCGCACCCGGTTCTCCGCAGCTTTTTGTTGTCGGATGCGTTGGTGTGCCAACCTTCTGTCCGGTCTTTGCCCCAGGTGAGGTTTTCCTGGGAACTTTTTATTTTTATTTTATGAACTCGCTTTCTGTGAGCATTACTATGTACAGTGAAATCCCGCTAAAACGAATCTCTACAAAACAAATTTTTCGTTGTACGATTTTTTTTTTGGCCCAGCCATTTCTCCACTGGCGTCATGTAGTAAAATTCTAGTTTTAATGGACACATTTTATGCTGTAATCTCAGTATAACGAATTTTTTGGTGCTGATTCTTTGTTCGGGCCATGGGGGTTTATTTGATAAATAGCAGAAAAATTAATAAAAAATTTGAAGTGGTGCAGCATTCCAACTTCTTCAAAGAAGCAAAATTTTCTGTGGAAAATTTTGTTGTCTGTGGAAATTTTCTGTGGAAAATTTTGTTGTCTGTGGAAATTTTCTGTGGAAAATTTTGTTTTGATTTTTTTAATAGAAAAATGTCATAATATGAAGACTGAATATTATTTCTTTCGGATTTCGTTTCAAGGTTCTGGCATCATTGCGGCAAAAGTTTGACCAGGCCACTGCAGGCATCAGCAACGTGGGAGACGTGGTGAAAGAAGCGCGGAGGTTCTTGAGAGATGTCGCTCCAAGATCTGCTGCCGTCCTCCGGGGAGGCATTGATGATTCTTCCAAATCTGCGACTCCCGTGTCTGTACGACAATCAAGTTTCGCCCACAAAGGTCAGTTATCTTTTTTTGGGACCTGGTTAGCATGGAATCTAATGGTTTCCAAAAATAAATTCAGTCGAAGAGACGAAAAATGTTTCGTGCAATTGAAGAGCCTTGATTCGAATTCCGAGGGGCCATCATATACATTTTATTTTGGGATGCTTCGAGTTGGGGGATACTGCTATTTTTGCCTCAAATGAAGAAGAATTGAAGGAAATTGTGATCATTTTGGCCCAAGTCTGCCTTGTAAAGTAGTTGACGGAATGCTGAACTTGAAGGCAAGAGTTCTTTTGCGCAATTATTCTTTACTTACTTTGAAAAAGCATCAATAAGTTATATTTTATTGCTTTTCTCTTTCCTGTGTCACAAGAATAATCGTCAAATGCCTGCGGGAAATACTAGTTTGAGGGAAAAGCCTTCGAGATTTGGAGGTTTTTAGTAAAGTGCATTGTACAGTATATTGGGGAATTCAATCAAGGACTTGAAAAAATTCAAAATAGTGAGATAATCGACTTTGAGAGGCTTAAGTTATCGATGTTCAACAGTACATGTAACCACACCCAATCAATATTTTCGTAATTAACTGGTTTTGTTTTTCATTCTAATTCTGACACCCGTTTATGATTTTCTGCTCTTCAATCAAATTTGCGTTAGGGTCGACTGGGGCTTGAAAAACTCCTGAAACTTTTTTGGGATTATTTCTGCGAATATTTTCTTTCCGCTCATGCAGTGAATTTTGTCGACAGAGTTTCTGAAGCGATATTATTGTGGTTGTTCTATTGAAAATTGCAGTGGAATCGAGGTACCAAAGCCTGGCGTCGAAGTTTTTCCGCCGCGGCAACAAAACCCGGTTGTCAACGAGCAACGACGTCGGCAAGTCGGGTCAAAACGGGTCTCATCACCCCGACTCGGGTTTTCTAGAACAGCTACCGGGTGACTGCTATAGATACACGTTGGTGGGCGAGTGTCCGAAGGAAAAGTCAGTGTCGTCGACGCCGTCGTCAACGCGGATGGGTTTCGTCGGAGAAACGGCGTCGAGAAAGGCGCCGCGGCGAGTCGTGCTGGCCGCAGTTTTGTTCGACGAGTGGGTGCACGAGTTGGCAGCCCTGGCTTTGGAGCACAGTCTGGCAACCGAAGAGTTCTCCTTCTTTTTCCCGACCTCACCGACCAAATGACATAGACCGACTGTGGGAGTATCGTCTTTCGCTACTGCGCTTTTTTGCGTCTGTGGAAATCGGAGCTTTCTTTCTTTTTTTCTCGGGGGCTGTTGTCTTTCCTTCGCAGTTATTTTTGTGTGTGCTGTAATTCAAGCGCAACAAAGGCGTTGACTGATTCACGTCTTCGATTTCAAGGCATGTTTCCTGCGTTAGATACCATATGTTTTAATTTAACTACTGTACATTAAAATCTCATTACAAAAAATACTGTTGCAAAAAAATTTTCAGTATAACAAACTTTTTGTCAAGTTCCAGTAGAAAGCCCATGGAGTACATGTTAAAACAATCTGGTTATACTGTAACAAACTTCCCGATTCCAGTACAGCAAACTCTTCTGAGAAATGCTGAAATGTTTGTCCAGGTAGAAATTTCCTTACTAAGGCAGACACAGATTGGAAATTTCCAATCCCAAATGTGACTGACTGGTTCTTGAACCATGGATGGAAGCTGTAATCAATGACAAAAATGCTCCCAAGTGGAGATTTTTCACATGTTCTTCTCAGAATGAAGAGATTGGTGCAACTGATGGAATGCATTATTGAAGCTAATTTTTTCAGAAGGTCACTCAGTTTTTCAAACAATAATGAAAAATCTGAAAAGCATTATTTGATCTATTAGAGGCAGTTTATGTATGAACATTTTTTCAGTCATTCATTTTTTAAATTTTGTTATAGCAAATTATTCAGTAAAACAAACCTTTTTGAAGTCCCCAAAAGTTTGTTGTAATGAGATTTTACTACAGTATAGTATGCCAAAAAGTTACTGTGCAGCAAGGCATTTTTAATTTGTATAATGGATTCCCATGCGTTTTCTGTTACAATGACGAGGTGTTGTGGCGTAGAGAGATTTCAGTGGTAGTCAGACACACACGCACATTTTCGAACCCCTTTGAGTCATCCAAAGTTCCATTTTCCTTTGGGATCCTCATGGATGGCTGCACGGGCATGAAAATTGCTACTGTGCCTCTTGCTTGAGTGCATTGGGGGTTTTTTGGAATTATAAAAAAAGGAATTTTGGCCGATTTATTATTTTTTTAATTCTGGAAATTCTGTTCCAACCATTACTGACCTAATTACAAATTACCAATGATTTATATGTATATATAATATTTGTTTGCGCATTTCACCATAGATTTATTGAAGGAAAACACAAAAAATTTAGACGTTTTTGCTGCACAGTAACTTTCGGCTTTCTCTTACCGACCGTTTTTTTTTAAAGCCGGTTCGATTGCCTTCGACTCACATTTTTTCTGTTAAATTCTGAGCAGATCGTGGACAGGAATCATCAGTAGCATGCATTTAAATGAGAAGTTCTGTCATTTTGGATTGGCAGAAGCTCCTGCGCAAATATTACGGGTGTAGCTCTTCTGCTAAAATTGGACTTGCGTTTTTAACCGTCCGGAAAGTGGTGGAAAAAAGCTAGTTGAGGTATTCGTTATTGAATTGATTCCGATTCTTTGTTTGAAAAGCCGTGGGCAACAGCCTACACGAAAATTGTTTCGCTCTTTTCCTTCACGCGTGTTTTTTTTTCTGATTCATTTGATATGGTTCCTGAGTAAAGTTCTGGCCTGCAGATCCTGAAATGAGCAGAAATTTTAAACATTGCTCAACTTTTGAAATGCTACCGTAGAAATGATATTACGCGGTATTTTACAACCATGCTTTTCAATCACGTGCTTCGCATGAACTTCGCTTTTGTTGAGGCTTCCAAGTTCTGTTTTTTTACGAGGCCCGGTTTTTTTGCCGCGATGTGGTTGTAGGTAAACTATTGCTGGTTACCAAGTGGTTTCTATTGTTTCGGATATATCAAATGTTCAGCAGGTATCAAAGCGTATGCTAAGCGGAATTGAAAAGCAATAACTAATCCAGAGAAGGTTATCGTAATCAAATTGATTCACAAGTGAGTAATCCGTTTGTTTGTGGTTTTTTTCTAACGATGTTTTTTGTTTCGTTATCACGTGGTGAAAAGAGAGATTTTTTTGAGGTCATGCGTGCGAACCGCGGAATTTTTTTTTTTTAAAGATATGTAGTTGATTTCGTGCCAAAAAACAACCCATCGCTGTCAGCTCGATTCTCATCGGATTTTTGCTGTATACTTTTGTTTTGTGAACGAAGTAGTCGACGTTTAATTCGTGCCTGCGCTTCTACGCAATCATTTCTGGTTGTTTTTTTTTTTTATATCCCCGCGAAATTTGAGTCCGTGATTTACTGTATGTTGGGTAGATTTCGCATGAGTTTCGTTTGTATTACACATAATTATAGTTTCCATTTTTTTAACGTTAGGTTCAGTCGGGTAGAAATAGTTGCTAGTTTTGTTTTCTAAAATGCTGCAAGTTACCGGGAGATTGTCATTACACATGGATGAGACCTGGTGGTCGATTTTATGCAATTTTTTTGGATCGAAAAAATGCATTCCATTAAAATCAGGTGATTATGAGCTCTACGCAGAAATTATTTGAAGAATTTGTGCTTAGCATAGGAAATAACTTCGAAAAGTTGACATACGTACTTCCGTTTTTTTGAGGATTTGGGTTGGCATTTTCCTTCGCTAGATTGACCCCATGAGTTTTCAGTGTTCCTCTTGAATCTTCATTTTTATTTTTCCCCGCCCTCATTTAAAGAACTTCAAGGGAACAATGATTTCAACAGTGGAAAGATGCTCAACTTCGTCTCTGATCAGGTTTTTCTTCGAAATTTTTTTTGGGACAAAACACCATCCAGGGAGTCAAGGAGAATAATACACGCTTGCAGCGGATTTGTCTAGTGCACGCAACCTTACAAATGTACGTGGTTCACTCGAGTCATTTGAGAGGATTTAATTTTCATTCTCAAATCCAAAACCAGTTTCTGAAGATGAATGGTCAATTTGTGTCAGGCTGCAAGAACGGTTTATAGGTAATTCGCATGACTTTTTAGAAAGTCTTGGTATCAAGTAAAATATTAGATAAACGCTTGCCCTGCATTTGAAAAGTTAGACAACTTTTATAGGTCGCATTTTGTTGAATTTTGAAACCTTTTTATTTCTTCACGAGAAAATCCGCTTGTTCGACGTGCTTGAGAAAAACTTCCGGGAATTTATTTTCAGCCTGCGCTTCTTTTGTTATTGCTGTTTTTTTTGTGTTTTCGGGAATTCATTTTTAAAACTCGGTTGGTCTCAATGCGGAACATATTTGTCTACACGCGCATCTCGGATCCCACTGCGGTTGTTGTTGCATTATCACCAATCACGGATTCTCGTTTTTTGTTTTTCGGCGGGACTTTCGAGTTGGGGAGTTTTTTTTTAACCTGCCTGCGACCCGTTATTGCGTAAGCAGGACGGGATATATATTATTTTTATCGGATTTTTTGTAAGAAATCGGAGGAATTTTGTCTGTGATCTTCGAAAAAAAAAATGATGGAAGAGGGAACGAGAGCGATCCAACAGTCACGCGAGTAATTTCAAGTCGGATTTCCTGTCGTCCTATTTTTCTTTTTTGTTCTTCATTGATAACAGATGTCGAGGAGCTTTTTATTTTTTGGGGTGAAGATCTGACCTGATGCTGCGAAATCCCCGCTAAAATGAATTTATAATGAGGTTAAGACGACAAATTTTAGCGCATGAAACGGGTTAGTCGAATGTTGAAACCTTTTTGATTCTCTTGTTGGTTTCAGTAATTATTCTATGGGAGTAAATTTTCTTTTGATGCAATTCAGGACACCATTTTTCCCGACATTTTTTTTTTGGGATTTATTCAAGTAAAGTTACGTTGCGTTTACGCAATATTTTTGTTGATTAAATTACTAAAGTCAGTGCTGTGTGCTCAAGCGAATCAATGCGGGGTGGTGACTAATTTTGATTAACTTTGCACTCGATGCTTTCTCGATGGAAGGAATTATACTGATGGAAATTTCGGCTGATCTTCGTTGTTGTCACTTTTTCTTTCTTCATTTAAAATTGGCGTTTGTTGACGTTTTTGAAGAAAATTTTAAAATTTCGTTGTTTTGGGTGAAAGAGATTTATTTTTCGATGCACTTTGTTAAAATGGGACCTTGATTTTCGGACGATTCGAGTTCACGTCTGATTCCGGTTCTGTGGCGATTTTTTTTTAAACAAATATTATGAAATAGTAGGCATACCAATTAATCAAGTCCAGGACGGAGGGTCTCTTTATATTAGTTTTCCGGTGCAATAATTCTGGGTATTTTTATGATCTGCAAACGAAGTCATTTTAAGGAAATGTCATACTGTATTTTTACAACTTCTTGAAAATACCGTATTAATGCTTCTTTAATACTGTATATTTTACTGTAGTAATCCGTAAATTTCACTGAGGGTTCGTGTTGAAAAAAAGGAAATTTTCGTGTCATCTACAGATAATTATAAAGAGCCTGTTCTGCCGTGAATTCAATATGTTCTTAGTTTTCGAAAGATCACGTTTAATTGAACTGGAAGGAATCTGAATTGCGTTATCAGCTTTTCATGTTCATCTCGAAGGTGTTCTCTTATCTAATTCTTTTCAGGCGCCTGAGCGGAGATCGAACGACGTTAGCGAGTGAAGGAGGTGTTTTTCGGTTTTGTAAACGTGCCTTTTAAAATCAGTTAACGGATTGCCTATTTTCAGTTCTTCCGTGATTTTGCGAAATTTTATTTCGGTGGGACCATGCGGGACGAAGCTGCGAACCAGTTGCAGGGATTCAAGGAAGCCTTCAAGGTAAGAATTGAAATCGAGTAAATCCTGTTGATGATTTCCAATAATGTAAATGCACTTACTTTTTCTGGAAAATATTTGCTGAGATGCTGATCAAAAAATCAAGAGCCGTTTTTTGCTGATGATCGAGGTCAATTTCTTCTTGTGTGGGGAATTTTCAATCGTTCAAGAAACAAAGCACAGTATGGCATACGAATACTGTATATATCACAGACATCATTGTTGGAATACCTGCATTCAGGTTTAAACTTCGTTTTCTTTGGCATTATATATTTGTAAACAATGTGCAACTAATTAAAAAAAATTTTCATACCTTGTTTACTCAAAGTAACCTGTGAATCTAACATTTTCTCTGACTTCTTCACATACAGTATATATCTACTCAATTCGGGAACTTCGCGGTTTTATTACTTTATTTTAATAAACTCTTAATTTATGTTGCTGGACAGATTTTGAAGCGTTTCATTGGTCAGGATTTTTCCTTTCGATGCAGATGTTCGCGTTTTCGAAATATGAGGCGTATTTTTTCTGCACATTTTTGAGATTTTCAGAATCGAAGTTTTGAACGAGAACAGGGTTTTCTAGCAATTGAAGATTTTTTAGATGCTTTTTTTATAATACCGTAGATACAACGGGATTTTCGGAGAAAGAGTCTGTGCAGGAATTGTGTTGAATATGTGATACGGATTTTTATTATATGCTGCTCGTTAATGGCAGTCCTACAGGCTTTGAATTCCAGAAACGCGATTTCTATTTATTGTTTTAATATAAAATGAAATTCGACGCTTTTTTTGTGATGTCAGGGGAAGCAGCAATTGTTGGTGGCTGGACACGGAAGTCCTGTTGGAGATCGTCTGAATAGTTTGACGGCCGGAAGTCGGGGTCCGATTTTACTACAAGATGTCCCGTTGATTGACGAGATCAGTCATTTTGATCGCGAGAGGATCCCTGAACGAGTGGTTCACGCCAAAGGAGCAGGTTTTTCATTTGATCTTTCTAATTTGTTTAAATCGTAGACGAGATGACAGTCTATACACAACGGTGCATATTTTGTTCTATCCAGTGGAAGAAATTTGTCTTATCGAAAGGATGACTGTAAAGTTCGAGTCGGAGTCTTGGGATGAAGTTCTGTTGATTCGCAAACTTTTTATTGCAAATTCTCGAATTACAAGATTAAGGACAACTGCTCGAGAAAGCCTTCAGATTATTTGCAGAGGATTTTCTTCACATTCAGCATAACGAAGACGAGAATTCACAAAATCAGAATTTTTTAAATCGTTATTTGTTGTAAAATTTCAGACCTAGTCGCTAGGTAAGTCTTTTTTTAATTAATTTGAAATACTTTATCGCGCTTGGACTTCCGCAATATTATGATGAAAATTTTTGAAATTTCCATGTTTTCCTCATGTGGTAAGAAAATTTTGAAAAGTACTTTAATTTTTAAATGATCGAATGTTCTTCAATAAAAATTATTCCCATCTCCATGAATTCGGAATTGAAAAGGAAAATCGTGAATTAACCCTCGTATCATTATTTTTTTAAAGGAGCGTTTGGATACTTCGAGGTGACCGATGATGTGACGCGGTATACGAAAGCCGCCGTTTTTTCTGCCGTCGGGAAGCGAACGCCGATTGCCGTCCGATTTTCGACGGTCGGTGGAGAAAGCGGGTCTGCCGATACCGTTAGGTGAGACATTTTCTTNTGTAAAATTTCAGACCTAGTCGCTAGGTAAGTCTTTTTTTAATTAATTTGAAATACTTTATCGCGCTTGGACTTCCGCAATATTATGATGAAAATTTTTGAAATTTCCATGTTTTCCTCATGTGGTAAGAAAATTTTGAAAAGTACTTTAATTTTTAAATGATCGAATGTTCTTCAATAAAAATTATTCCCATCTCCATGAATTCGGAATTGAAAAGGAAAATCGTGAATTAACCCTCGTATCATTATTTTTTTAAAGGAGCGTTTGGATACTTCGAGGTGACCGATGATGTGACGCGGTATACGAAAGCCGCCGTTTTTTCTGCCGTCGGGAAGCGAACGCCGATTGCCGTCCGATTTTCGACGGTCGGTGGAGAAAGCGGGTCTGCCGATACCGTTAGGTGAGACATTTTCTTTGCAAGATTTTCTTCTATTTTTGCACAACGCTTGTTTCATTAGACAACAGTGGGAGATCCTTTTAATCATTTCCGGAACACGGGATCCCCCTGTATTAATTTTTCTGATGATTCTTGGGTATTTTAATGATCTGCAAATGAACTCGTTTTAAAAGAAGTGACGCCTTTTTTCAGCTTCTGGAGAAGGTTTCATTTTTATTTTTGCACATACTATAGCTTGTTTTTGTACAGTATTCGGAGGCGGATTCTGAAACTTTTGTAATTGTTCCGACTTTATTCTACAGGATTCGTCTGTCATGCTTAAAAATTACTTCCTTGTGAAAATGTTCCTTCATTGAAATGCGTGAAATTTAAATGCTCCTGGAAGAAAGGGGGCCGCGTTCTTTGACATTGAATTCTGCGGGAGAATTGAAAAAATTCTGATTATTGTATAAGTAATATTAATTCGAAAATTTTCGACAGGGATCCTCGGGGATTTGCTGTTAAATTTTACAGTGAAGAAGGCAACTGGGATCTGGTGGGAAACAACACTCCGATCTTCTTCATCCGAGATGGGATCCTGTTTCCCTCTTTTATTCACACACAGAAGCGCAACCCCCAGACTCACCTCAAGGTATTGTATACATGATTTGTTTTCCATCTTCTCGATGCTTCGAAGTTTTTTTTTTTTCTTGGTGAATCCCGTTATCGAGTTGTTAAATCGCTTGAATTAAATTATTATACGTGAACTTGTGACTGATACAGGATGCGGACATGTTCTGGGACTTTTTGTCGTTGCGGCCCGAGTCAACGCATCAGGTTTCGTTCTTGTTCTCGGACCGGGGAATCCCTGATGGGTATCGTCACATGAATGGATACGGATCCCACTTGGGACTTTTTGTCGTTGCGGCCCGAGTCAACGCATCAGGTTTCGTTCTTGTTCTCGGACCGGGGAACCCCTGATGGGTATCGTCACATGAATGGATACGGATCCCACACTTTCAAACTGGTCAATGTTGCTGGAGAACCCGTTTACTGCAAATTTCATTACAAGGTACTGTTCGTCAGAAAATGTCAGTAATATTTTTGAGGGCTTCCCATAATGGCCCGGTCTGAAAAAAGAAAATATATACAAATGTAAACCGAATTTAACAAGTGAAGTATTGTATTACGTTGAATGTCAATGACAGCTCAGTTAGACGTAAAGTAATAAAAATATGCAACGAATTGAATTTTTTTGTTTTATTCAAAGAAAAAATGCCCTCTCGAGAAAAACGAGTCGTAACTTTTCGGAGTTGAATAAATAGTAATATGAATTCGGAAGCACTTCTGAGAGAATACTGTTGAATTATTCATTCTTCAAATCGCGGAAAAAATCGACGTTCCAAGTAATGTTTTATTTTATTTTGCTGCTCTTGTCCCGCGCAGTTCTGATGCTTGCCGTTTTTTGACTCTCGCCCTTAATTTTTTCTATTTTTTTTCCGTGAAATGCTCTTCATTTGTTTCACAGACTAACCAAGGCATCAAAAACCTGACGGTGGAAAAAGCTGGAAAACTGGCTTCGGAAGACCCGGATTATTCAATCCGTGATTTGTACAACGCGATTGAAAACGGAGATTTTCCGAGTTGGACCTTTTATTTCCAGATTATGACGTTCAAAGAAGCAGAGAAACATCGCTGGAATCCCTTTGATGTCACTAAGGTATTGCTTGAAATCAGGTTTTTCTTTTTTCTATGGCTTTTAGGTTCCATTTCTAAATTATGAGACTTGATGCTGAGGAAAACAACGGACTTCATGCAATAGAAAAATAACTCAATTTTCTTTCTTATTTTGAAAAAAGGAATTAATTATTTCCGGCGTTATTTTAGAGTAGCAAAAAAGAAAAAATGTTGAATTTACCTTTTTTTGCGCAGGTTTGGTCGCATAAGGAATTCCCCTTAATCCGCGTTGGTCGTCTGGTGCTTAATCGGAACCCGAAGAATTATTTCGCAGAAGTTGAGCAATTGGCGTTCGCTCNGAGAATACTGTTGAATTATTCATTCTTCAAATCGCGGAAAAAATCGACGTTCCAAGTAATGTTTTATTTTATTTTGCTGCTCTTGTCCCGCGCAGTTCTGATGCTTGCCGTTTTTTGACTCTCGCCCTTAATTTTTTCTATTTTTTTTCCGTAAAATGCTCTTCATTCGTTTCACAGACTAACCAAGGCATCAAAAACCTGACGGTGGAAAAAGCTGGAAAACTGGCTTCGGAAGACCCGGATTATTCAATCCGTGATTTGTACAACGCGATTGAAACCGGAGATTTTCCGAGTTGGACCTTTTATTTCCAGATTATGACGTTCAAAGAAGCAGAGAAACATCGCTGGAATCCCTTTGATGTCACTAAGGTATTTCTTGAAATCAGGTTTTTCTTTATTCTATGGCTTTTAGGTTCCATTTCTAGATTATGAGACTTGATGCTGAGGAAAACAACGGACTTCATGCAATAGAAAAATAACTCAATTTTCTTTCTTATTTTGAAAAAAGGAATTAATTATTTCCGGCGTTATTTTAGAGTAGCAAAATACAAAAAATTTTGAATTTACCTTTTTTTGCGCAGGTTTGGTCGCATAAGGAATTCCCCTTAATCCGCGTTGGTCGTCTGGTGCTTAATCGGAACCCGAAGAATTATTTCGCAGAAGTTGAGCAATTGGCGTTCGCTCCTTCAAATTTGGTGCCTGGGATTGAACCATCCCCTGACAAGATGTTACAGGTATTTTATCTCGAAAACACGCCACGATTTTACTAATAAATCATTTTGAATTTACTAAATTTGCCCCTGATTTTTTTTATTCGTCGTGATTTAGAAAAAAAAAAGAAAATAGCTCCAATTTTGTCGGAGAGTGAGTCGACGATTTTGATTCCGTTTCTTTTTGTGTTGCAAGGCCAGGTTATTCAGCTACGCGGACACTCACAGGCACAGACTGGGGCCGAATCATTTGCAAATCCCGGTTAATTGCCCCATGAACTCCCGCCATTGGGGCAATTATCAGCGTGACGGATTCATGACTGTGACCGACAACCAAGGCGGGGCCCCGAACTATTTCCCAAATAGTTTCTCAGGGCCGGTTGAATCGGAAAAGCATCTTGATTCAAAGTTCAGCGTTTCTGGAGACGTTGCGAGGTATACATAAGTTTTAATTTTACTCTGAATGTTCAGGTAATTATTTCACATCTTGAGGAAATTTTTTTTTTTTAAGGAAAATCGTGCTTGAAGCATGAATTGTTGGTCGCATAATTTTTTCTGCGACGCTGGTCTGAAATGGTTTCATGGTGTAATTTAAGGTTTACGTTTCCTCACCGTCACGATTCAAATTTTACAGCGAAAATGGATGGTTTTTAAAATAGGATGCGAGTGAAATTTGACTCAATAATTTAGTTTATTCCATAAAACGGTAATAGTTTCCAAGGGTGTCCATTTTTCGGAAACATGAGCGTCTTTTGTATTTATTCATCAGTGGAGACAAATTTCAATTTTGAATGCCTTTTCGTCTCCCAAAAGAAGAGATTTTTCTAAGTGAATTAAAACTGGATTTTCATAAATTGTGAAATATTGCTGTCGAAAAATATTCAACTGATTGTCGATCAACAGGCACGAATCCGCGAATGAAGACAATTTCACGCAAGTTGGCACATTTTACAACGACGTTTTAAACGCGGACGAGAGACTTCGTCTAGCGAGGAATATTGCTGGTCACGTGATTGACGCACAGGATTTCATTCAGGTGATTCTCGTTTGTAATTACTTCTTTATTTTTCTTTCAAATAATAAAAATTGGAAAAATAGAACCGCGTGGAGTTCTGAATTTTTTTAACTGCACTTGAATTAACTGGAGTTTTGTCGGGGTTTTTTCGCGAAACTGGAAGTGAAAAGGAAAGTTTATTATCTTTTATCCATGATGACTTAATTCTTGTCAAAATGATTTTCTTTTGATTGTGGTTGAACGGAGCGTCCGGAAAGGTTTTTGTTATGAACTCACAATTTTGAAAGCCGTGAGTTATTTCAATGGGGATAGATGTCACTCTCAGTCACAATTTGAATTTTGAACAGTCACAATTTGAATTTTGAATTTTTTGAAAGAGTCATCCGAAATTTTATCATCAGCTGAGTAATGCTTGATATTGTTGAGTTGGACACGATGATTTTGAGTGGAATTTTAAATGATTATTTTTTTATTATAATTAACATTTCCGGGACGCTTTGTAATTTAGTATCGTTGAAGAATAATCGTTCGTTATTCCTGCGAGATTTTTTCTTTATAAATAGTAGTGATTTAAAATGCAAGTTCATTGATTTTTCGGATGAGTTACCGCCTGTACATAATTGATGCTATAACAGACTCTTATATTCACTGACGAAATTTTCCTCCTTGATCCCATTGCGTAACTTCTGGATCATTTGTTCAGGAACGAGCGATTTCGAATTTCGCAAAGGCGGACCCGAAATACGGAGCAGCCATCAGGCAGGAGTTGCACAAGTTGAAAACCAAGGCAGGGAAGTCAGCTAAGCTGTAACCGAAGCGAAAGGAATTGTGCTGGGGGAAAAAACTCCACTTTTCTGCAGCTCAGTTATAATTCCAGTCACACAAAAAAAGGGGAGAGAGAAAGAAGCGGAACGCCGTGATCGTTAGTCATATTGTTGTTCTCGGTCATTAGACTTACCGGGTGTTTCTGCCCGTCTGTGAATTTATCGTGGTTGTGGTGTTTCAAAAGGTGTCCTTCGAGTATAGTTTCGAACGTAGTTTACCCACTCTGAACGGGACTGCGTTGTGATGAACATGAGAAAAACGGGGATTTCTGGGACGGACGGTTATTCCATAATTGTAATTTTTTGTGATAATTTGTCTTTGAATTGTTGTAAATTTGAGGTGTTCATTTCGTGGATGAGCTTGGGACGAATTCAACGAAATTTCAGTTTGGTGCTGCTGATGGTTCATCAATACACAAACATTCATGTCCTGTCCGTCATGGCGTACCTTTTTTTAAATCATCAGCGTCGTGGTGTTCGTTCTAAATTTTCGCACAGGTGTCGCCCGAATCACCAACAAATCGATTTGTTTGTGATTCGGGCCACTCCTGCGTAGTTGCAAAGGAAATTCGTGGTTTCGAGGACGCTACATGGTTCAAGTGGAAAAAACTTGATTGAACTCTTCCAGGTGAGGATCAATATCGACAAATGAGAAGTATTTTCTTGAATTCAATTTTGCTGTGAGGTGTCATTCTCTTTTGTGGACTTCATTGTAAACTGGTTCCTTCATTTATTTTTTGTGTTGATCTTGGAATCTTGATCGCTTCATGTGGCTAAACTTATTTTTTTCGCGTTAGGCTCCGCATATAAAACGTGGATGCATTTCGACGAGGTTGGTCAGTCGTGTGAAATGTTCGCTGGATAGATGTTGTGTATCCGTCAGGTGTTTTTACCTTTTTTTGTGTTTATTTTTCGCTAAATCTGTTTCAATTGATCCCAGGATGACGCGAAATTCTCGCCTTGTTCATGGTGTTACGATTTCGCCTTGTCACGGGTCAATTCTGCTCGCGGCATGTTTTCTCTTTGTCATGGCTGCATGAGGTATTTTTCTCTCGAAGTTTCGAAGGAATTATTGCGTAACAGCGGTTTTTTCGACATTTCTGCGCCGCTAATTGCGCAGTTTGTCGGGCGACATTTTGTGAACAGTCATTTGATCTCGTGACTCACGTAAAAATCTGAAGGCCGGCTATTTATCGGAAATCTTGAGATTTTTAACTTGTTGTGACTGGAACTTCGTTGAACAAGTTTGAGGTATTGTAAGAGTTCGAAACGGAATAATCGCGAGCTGATAGTGATTTGGATATTGTTGTGGTTGTGCTAAATTCCGTATGAATTTTTGTTCGTATTCGTGATGGTGATCCCGAGATAATTAAGAATTTCATCATTACGGAAAGTCATGGCATCGGTGTCATCGCCCCGATTTCGAAATCGCGGAATTTATCTATAATGCAGATACTACATATGGTCTACGTTTGTATATATATGTAGTCAAGATTTATTTTTCGTCATTCATTCTCCAGCAGATATTTTTCCTAGTTCGATATACATACGGAATTAATTCAGATTTCGAGGTGAGAATTCAGGATTTGATAGGGAAATTTTGGGTATTGAATTGTTATTTTTCAAGTTAGAAATTGTAAACCGAAAGAAGATGAGGGACGCCGCAGCCGAGCAACTTGCAGAATATAGCAAGAATGTGAAGACCAACAAGGTGAGCATTCTGGATTTTCGAAGAGAAATGTGTTCAAATTCGAGTCCGCGAGTAGTTTTGGAAGGTCGCCAGAAGTCTTTAAATTTCGCAAACGAGTCGCGAATATGTCGCTTCTTGTTCTTCCCTCGTGGCACATATTGTTTTGAGGGAAGTGATATGTTCCATCAGCATTCTCTTATCCATGAATTCTTCGTTTTTTCCATCTGTTTGAGACTGGACGAATTTTTAGACGAGTAGTTCGTGGACTTCGGGGAGGAGAAATTTGATTTACTGATATATATAGTATCACGCGATATTTCAATATCTAATTCATCTGAACTGCGATAGACGTCTGAAATTTCAATGGGATGAGGGAAGAATTTGTAAATGTTTTTATCCCTCTTCGCTTGAACGTGATATCGTACGATATGAAATTTTCCTTTCTCATTACTCATTCAAGATTGATGTTTGGGATTTGTATTTTCTTCGAAAAATATTTTTAGCAAGAAATCGGCGGAGTCTTGGCCACTGCGACCGGAAGACCCATTGTGAACAAGAATGCGTCCGTGACAGTCGGTCCTCGAGGACCACTTCTGCTTCAGGACACTGTCCTCTTGGACGAGATGAGCCACTTTGACAGGGAAAGGATTCCAGAACGGGCCGTGCACGCGAAAGGAGCCGGTAATGCAAATTCTTCCTCACTTTCTGAACCCATCGCGGAAGAAAAATTTGACCACCTGGTGCTCAAATTTTTGACGAGAGATTATAATCTTCGACCCAAGTTTTTTCTTTTATTTAAAATGCATTTTTTCTGTCTGAACCCGTGATCTCTGAATTTTTTGGATATATTAGCGTCGAGGGGTTTTTTTATGCTTAAAAGCAATGACGTGCTTTCGCATATATAACTTACGAATAAATAGCAGATCTTGAACTTTCGAATAAGTTCCCCTTTATTTATTTTTTTACGCTAAATTTGCGAACTTCGGATTTTCGTGACCTATTCTGAATGTTAGGCATTTTAGGAACTATAAAAAACGTGTTATCAAGCGAATTTTCGGATTTTGTACTCGACCCATTTCTTGATGTTTTTCTTCAACATTTTTTGTTTAAAATTGAATTGCGGGTAAAAAGCTATGAATTGCTGATAATTTTTTTGTTTTCTTATGCAGGGGCTTTTGGCTATTTCGAAGTAACGGATGACATTCGCCAGTACACGAATGCAAGTGTGTTCTCGGCTATCGGGAAAAGGACTTCTGTAGCTGTTCGATTCTCGACGGTCGGTGGGGAAAGTGGTTCTGCTGACACCGTCCGGTATATTTTTCCTTAATTTTTTCCCCCAAATTTAGTCATTACTAAATATACTGAGTGAGCAAATTTCTTTTGAACATCTCTGTGTAGTATGTCTAAATATTCAATTCGAGCTGAGTTCTGTCGTATCTTCTGATTGTTTGCTTTGTTAACGTTTCGAATGACGTGAGGATAAGTAGAAATAATTGAATGCTACCTCTTGTACCTGCTGATGCCCCTGAAGTGATGTGTTTTACTTACTCTGCCTGATTCCTTGAAGTGAACGATTCCAAGTTGCATTACTTCTGTACTCTGGTAGATGTCGCGTGTCACTTCTCGTGAATCGCATCGGGACTAAATCCTAATTTGAACAGTACACGTATGAAATCTGTCCAATAATTCGTGGATCACTCCTGAGACCCAATCGGGTTCCAGCATACCTTCATTAAAGTGCTCACCTGATATTTTCCTGCACTAAAATTTGCAGGATTTTTTGCGCGTCAACTTTCTCTGAACGTTTTTATTTTTATTCGGCGTAGACACAGGAGCCTCTAGAAAATCTTGTTTCAATACGCTTTGATATTTTCGTCTATATTGGCATTCGGAAGATGTTGACTGAAAATATTTCTTCCACTGGATGTCGTTCCCTGCCGCTATGTTTGACAGGGATCCTCGGGGATTTGCTGTCAAGTTCTACTCGGAAGATGGCAATTGGGATCTGGTGGGAAACAACACTCCCATCTTCTTCATCCGAGATGGGATCCTGTTTCCCTCTTTTATTCACACGCAGAAGCGCAACCCCCAGACTCACCTCAAGGTATTGTGTCCATGATTTGTTTTCCATCTTCTCGATGCTTCGAAGTTCCTTTTTATTTGAGAATTCCGAGTTCTTGAATCGCTGGGATTGATTATTTTACGTGAACTTGTGACTGGTACAGGATGCAGACATGTTCTGGGACTTTTTGTCGTTGCGGCCCGAGTCAACGCATCAGGTTTCGTTCTTGTTCTCGGACCGGGGAATCCCTGATGGGTATCGTCACATGAATGGATACGGATCCCACACTTTCAAACTGGTCAATGCTTCTGGGGATCACGTTTACTGCAAGTTCCACTTCAAGGTACAGTACTGCACTGTTTGAGCTCTTCCCTTATTTCACTATGTCCAGTTGTACTCGGAAGCGTGCGACACCTACGAAATGATGGCTAATTGGGAATGCATTTTGACGGATCAGGTTGATGGTTCGTTTGACATTTGTTAATGGAACAGCTGAATCACTTCTGCGCAGCAACACCGTGCAATTCTCATTGGCGATAAGTATACTGAAGTAATTACTGAATGTTCTCTTGGTTTCAGACGGATCAAGGAATTCAAAACCTGCTGCCAGATGCCGCTGCTGATGTGGCGCGAGACGATCCTGATTACGGAATCCGCGACTTGTTCAATGCCATCAGCAATGGACAAAACCCGTCCTGGACGTTGAACATCCAAGTGATGACGCAAGCACAAGCTGAATCTCTCCCATGGAACCCGTTTGATGTTACTAAGGTAACATACTGCATTTTATTTTTTTTTAAAAGGAACTCGTAGGAAATCTCAAATTTCAGGTGTGGCCTCATGCAGATTTCCCTCTGATTCGCGTTGGAAAGATGGTGTTGGACAGGAATCCCGAGAATTACTTTGCTGAGGTCGAGCAATTGGCTTTTAACCCAGCGAATATGATTCCAGGTGTCGAAGCTTCTCCTGACAAGATGCTTCAGGTGGAGTATGCACTTTTCTCGAAGTTCGGCTACCACCGAATTTTCGAAACAATTTACGAAGGGGTGACATCTGCACATTAGTCTCGGTTTCATATTGTGTTAAATGTACGAAGAAATATTTCGGAACAGAAGGAACCTTAAAAGTATTTCGCTGCAAGATCTGTAAAAACTCTCCATGGAATGGCCTGTGAACCTTTTTTTTTCTCCGTAAATGCTTGATAACTTTTGTAAATGAACGAAATATTTCAAGTAATTCTCCCTTAACTAATGGGGAAGTTAGTAAACAAATTTCATTGAAATGCACGTCATTTTTCGTCAAATTTTAAGGGGAGCAAAACAAAAATATTCCACATGCATATTTTATGTTAGCGCACGCGTCCTCTTGGAATTCATTTCCATATGTGGTGCTCGTTATTTTCAAAGAATGAATACTAGTTGTCGCTCTCCTGCAGGCTCGCTTGTTCAGTTACGGAGACACGCAGCGCCACAGGCTGGGGCCGAATCACCTTCAGATCCCAGTGAACTGTCCCATGAATGCCAGGACATGGGGTCATTATCAGCGTGATGGCTTCATGGCTATTAATGGGAATCACGGCAATGCCCCGAATTACTTTCCCAACAGCTTCTCTGGACCGTCGCCTTCCTCGAACCAGTTGCATCTTGAGTCAACTTTCCCTGCTTCTGGTGATGTTGCGAGGTACAGTTTTGAATTCTATTCAGCTTGAATTAATTGGCCGATTTTATTTGATGACTAAATGCTTGAAAGGCTGAAAATGAAAGAAGCTAGGACCAACGAACTTGGAATATATCACGATTTGATGTACTGTATTTAGAATTATTAACGGGCAGCAATATTTTTGCCCGGGTTTTTCAGCAGAATATCGCTTGATCGGTTGAAATAATTCTTTCGAACATGCAAAACTTGACTTTCATTCGAAGAAGAAAATCTGCGGATATTGAAAATCAAATTTCCCGGAAGTCTCGATTAATGGAACTTTAAATCATCTCTGCACGAGTTCAGCAGTACGGTACTTTCCTTCGATTCCGTAATTAAATCCTTATTTGGCTGTCAGTCGTGCTTTGTTCATTTGTTCTTATCGAAGTTCTGGGTGGTAACTGAGAAAGATCGCGTCTCATCTGCCGTGGTACTGGCATTTATGTATCCGTGGGGGGTACGGAGGTTTCGTGTTATTTTATCCACAACTACAGCTGATATGTATCCAACCGCAGGTACAATTCTGGAGAAGATGATAACTTCAGTCAGGTGACGAATTTTTGGAGAGACGTGTTGACTGCCGAGGAGCGACAGCGACTGGCTAGCAACATCGCCGGCCATCTTGGGAATGCGCAGGCTTTCATCCAGGTGGGAAATTCTTTTCTCTTGAACAATAGATCGAGCCTTGATGAACCTTACGATAGATTGATCGTTATGAATCCTAATATAAGATAATCTTGCTAATCTGGATGGTTTGCATCAATATATCCATGAGCAAAATATGTTCTTCAACATAAAATGGAAGTAAACACAAGTGAAGATAACAACCTTGACCAAGAACAGATGAAAAATTTTGTAATCCGTATATTTGAATAGAAATTTCGAACATATAACGGACAAATTTTTATTGTGAAAATCGGAATAAAATTTGAACATCTGAATACAATTTGAAATTATCACTCAATTTAATTGGAAGTCTTTCAATTATTTCTCAAGCAACGGGCGATTGCGAACTTCTCCCAAGTCGACCCAGAATACGGTCAGATGATTTCCGATGGGATCAAGAAGTTGCAGAAGTAATTCGACCTGGGTTCAATATTCAATCAATCATCGCGAGACTTTGGGGGTTTTTTTTTAGAAGAAACAATTTTAGCTTTTCGGGGTTTTCTGCTAAAATCATTGGATATCTGACTGCGAATAGTTCTCAGATAAGCCATTTTTCAGCACTTTTTCCCAGCGCGCAAAAGCTTTGGTGTCGGTTGTGAATTCATGATACTGTATATTTTAGCTGCAGAAGAGTTGTACTGTATTTTTAATCCCTGTGCTGATATTTGTGGGGTGAAATAAAGCTACGTTTGGAATCGAGTCTGTTGGTGTCAGATTTTTAGACTATTTTTTTTTAAATCATTCGTGCCAAATGACTTGCACAAAAACTCTTCTGTCATTCGAAGGATTTACGTTTCAGCTAATTGAAATCTGTGCAAAATATCCCTTGTTCTATTAATTAACAAAACCATGCACATCAAATAAGCAGGTTGAACTGCTTCGAAATTTCAAGCTCTTCAATTTTACGACTTCACAAGGCCATAACAGTCGCCGATTTTCATTGACATCCCAAGAAGGAAATAATTTGTTCCAATTAAATCGGGGGAATTATGGACGTCAATTTCCACGTAAATAATTTTAGACTGTGTCCATACGTTGGAATGTCGGGATGTGTAGGATTACACTTTTCCATAGACTTAAAGGACAAATTTGTTGAATCCTTGTTACAATTAAAAGTAGGGAAAATTCCTGAATTAAAATGTTTCTCCCAAAATTAAAACACAGAATAACTGCACGAACCTTGATTAAATGAAAATTAGTCAAAAAGGCCAACACAAATTGAACTTCATGCACATTATTGGAAAATCCCTTAAAAGCAGAAATTAGCCTGTTGTGAAAAAAATTTAACAGTAAATTTAAAAAGGATGAAGTTGAATTTGTGTTCATGGCAGTAACTCACTTTGTTTGAAAGATGTCACAATCTTGAAAAATTATTGCTTTTCTGAAATATTTGTTTGGTTCTCCTAATCAGTGAACACTTCAGATTTAAGGGCGGATTTTCTGAGGTGCTCGAAATCATGAACTAAAATGCGTACCGAAAAATAGCTTATTCAATTTCTGCCATCATGTAATGTTCATTTGAAATTACAGATCGCAGATACCGTATATTGCATGCGGAAGAATTTAAAATAATTTCTGCAGAAAAAATTGAATTATTTTGAATGATCACCATAAAACGCATAACCAATAATACAGTAATATTTCGTCTTCAAAATTGACCATACCGAAGTTACACGAAAACTCCATAGTTCCTGAAGAAATATTTCCATTTGTTTATCTACGAAAGTGACAGCAGCACAACAACTTTACGACTAACCCTTCTCTGTCGTAGTTTTCTTTCACGTCCTGCCGGCTATACTGACGCGTGATCATCCCAAGAATTCGGGTGTTCCATCATGGGTTCGTTCGTGACTTGATCAGCAACGGGTTTCGCCTTCCCCTTTGATTCCGTTCACTCTTCTCTTTTGTTCCTCATAATCCCGTCTGTTCATGTATCATGTTCCGCGTTTCCGCATCCTGCGTTTTGATCCCCGCTTATCGAAAGGAATCCTACTTGCATCACCCATGCGACAAAATAAAAGAAGAAAACATCATTAGTACACATTTGATTAGATATCAAATTTGTGTTTTTGTTTTTTAGATCAAGAAGAAGAATGCATCAAGTGGTTAAAGAATCTGTACAGAACACCGTGCGCATTTCAGAGCTGTTGGTGCACAATCAACAGTGATTTTACCTATTCGTGATGGCGAAAATCAACGCTAAAAACCCTGTCAATTGAAAACCTAGAATTCAAAATTATTTCAAAATTAAAAATTTTTGCATACTGATTACAATGGGGCCCCAATAAGCGGAAGTAATTAATGCTTGGACCTTGTTCCTTTGTAATGTGATTGGATCCCATTTTTCCTTTGACTTCAATGGGAATATATTTAATTAGATCTTTTGTTTATCTAAAATAGGAAAAAGTACCCCAAACAATTGAATAAAATAATTTTTCTCAATTTCAAGATGCAGAAAATAACTTTGCGGAAAACCCCACACACATCATCTGATCTTCTGGTGTGAAAAGAAGCCCAAAAAGCAAAGAACAAGCACAATATGCAGTACTGTGCACAGAAACTGGAAAGCTCAGAAAAATAAGCCTGTTTAAGGTTATAAATCACGAAGAATTTGAGTAAAATGTATTTTTAACTTTTGTTAAAACATAAAGCTCAATTTGTACAAGAGAAATCAAAATTTTGAAAAATAAATTTCTCCATTTGCTTGAAATGGGAAAAAAATTGGAGTAGAGCAAAATTCCAACTTCTTCCACGAACCAAAAAACATTTTGTAGAGAAACAATGTTGTTCAAAAAATACGCAACATAACCCATTTCTTGAGAATTCAATCTTAAATGTGGTAAAAACCATGAATCTCATTACAACGCATTTTTGGTTTGACAACTTCATAATCAGATCCCGGGAGTTCGTTGCAATGACATTTTGCTGTATTATGTTTTTCTACAAATAAGGAAGCTAGAATACAAGAAAAAGCACATATGTTCCCAATCTCTTCAGAAAACCCTCAGCAGTGATTCGCTCAATTTGCAACAATAAAAAAAGCGTATTCATCCGCGCAGAAAGCAAGCCACGTGACTCAATTATTCTACCATTCTGCCTATAGAACAAGAACGATGAGGCCTGATGGAGAGATTATATCGCATTTCCCTTCATGTATATATACGCGATATACTCACGCCTGCCCTAGAAACAACTTGGCAGCACATAAATAATATTCGGTCATCCTCGTTTGCATCACTTTTTGCCGCTTTAATCCATTTTTATTTAAAAATGTCAACGTATCAAGATGTATGTCTTACTACTGTATAGTTATACATTCATTGATCAACTCTGCTCAAATCTAAATTTACCTATAGTGAGAGCAAACGCATCAGCATGAAAAATTTTCAATTTGAGTAACTTTATTTACTTTTGATCAAGTATGAAACCGTTTTTTGTCAAATCATTGAATTCATCAACCGCTACATTTTTTAAAAATTGTCGTTCGTTAACTAATTTATTTACTCAATCATCCTTGATACGGTGGCTGATAACCTCAGCAAATGAATCAACGAAAAGAAATCAACGCTAAAAAGAAACACGGTTACTGAGTTTTCATAATTTAATTAATTTCTCAATTTCATGGCGACCAATTTTATTACGGTATATTTTTAAAAAGTCTCGCGGAAATAACTTCGAATTTTGAGAGAAAAACTGTGGGCAATATTTGTGGTATACGGACCTTTTTCTCAATTTTAAATCCATATTTTTCCCACGAGAAGATAATGCGTGGGAATGTCGTTATACACTCTGCGGGAATCAAATCTTGATAAGGGCATTCGAGTCCTCGCGCTGTAGAAAGAAATGAAGAAAGATAATGGCTCATTAATTGGTCAAACCCTGAGGAAATGAACAAGTCAATGATTGACAGCTCACTGGAGAATAATTGATACGCGTGACTCGGTCTCGCCAAAGCTTATTGCTACATCAAAAGGGAGCAAATTATGATTGTTTTTTTTTCTTTCATGCTGATGCAGAATGCGAGGCATTCACAACTGGGAACAAACAACAAACGTGTGCTGCTTGGCGGAATCGAATATAGAGTGAGATTAACAAGCATGAGTTGACAGAAAAAAAAAAGACAAATGGAAAAATACGCACGCGGTTGTTATTGTCAAAGGCAACAGACGTCGGTTTATTCGGTCTTGTCTCGGGGGGAGGCCTAAGATGCATTATTGGGTCCGGTTGCCAAGCAGGATAACGACGTTGCGATGATGCACTTGAACAAAAGTAAGAACTGTGTTTACCCAAAGATAGATCATTTCTAGTGCCAACAAAAACTACGCAGGTGAAAAACTTGTGACAACGAACTCCAAGAACAAATTTTTATAAGAAAAAAAGTGCAACAGTATACAATATATATCAAGAATCCAGCGTACATTTACTTGAGCTATGTGGACCTAACAAAAATTTAAGTACAGTACTTCATTGTAAAACCGTTGACATTTTTAGAATAAAGCCTGTCACACAGCGAACGAGAAGAGAATCAGAAAGCCGGTTTTGGTTTAAAGTAACACCAGGGTTCATCATCCAGGGCCACATCAGTGGGGGAAGGCCTACGTTCCGTTGAATGAACAAGGAAGACCCTGAGCGTACCTATATTCCATTCGCTTGAGAAAATGTGTTCCTCTTTCAAACGTAAAACGCATTCATCTCCTGCTTATACCCGGGATAGACGACCTTTTTCCTTCTCCCCCAAGGGCACGTTAGAGGTGTTGCCGGTGTCCTTAAAAATAGCCTCGCGTTATTGAGCAACGCGTTCCTCCCCTCAAGCTGGCAAACGTGACTCTGATGGCGTTCACCCGCATGCGATCATCTTTTCACATTTACAGTATATGCCCAACGGTTTCTTCCAGAAGTCCTCTTCCCAACTTGGTCCCACCAGAAATGCATCCGAAACGCTTCTGAAAGCACATTACGTATTTGTGCTATGAATAAAAAGCACGAAAAAAAGTATAATTTAACGAATGTACTGCAGAAGCATCCTACTACAGTACTGTACTATGATATGTCATAAATTATTTTTAATTGCTTATGCAGTACTGTACTGATTTTTCGAAACCTCGAAAAGCTGCGCCTTTTCTAATAATGTACACGTGCCATGTGTCAGTGCGACAAACATGGTCAAGCCCTGATTTTTACCTAAATTAAGAAGTAACGTACATCCAATCAACTAACTCTAAAACCAGTCATAGATACAGTATAACCTCGTCAAATACAGTACTGTACTGCATAAATTTAAACAAGAATGAAACAGGAATACAGTACTGTACCATAAGTTCTTCCGACAATATAAAAGAGTCAGCTAAGATTTAATACCACTGAGAGGATTCATCATAAGTTTCACCAGCTCAGCTTACAAAAAACTGATTCCTGAATAAATCAACAATAAATACTGTACAAAGGAACACACTTCGAACAGCTTTTGATCTTCGGATTTCCTCAATCCCGAGCAGCACTCGTAAAGTTCTATATATCTTCCACAATAACTTTTAAAGCCATTCAGGATCAAAAGTGAACGTAATTCAGCAGAAAGCATGTCAAAATCACTCGAGCGAAATGGCACACCATGCCCAACAAGGGTAATACCCTCTATAGTACAGCACTGTACTCCGAAGTTCGTCCGACAGGACTCTTCGTACCCTGAATCGAAACTTTGGGGGTGAAAAACGGCTTCAAGAAATCCATTAGTCAAGCGTCGGGCACCGGCACCAGCAACTAATGCTGCTCTCAAAGTTGAGCCGGTTACGGCACAAAGACATCATTTATTCATGCCACAACTTGACAGAAGACGGTGGGGAGAAAGAAAAAAAGAAAGAAAGAAAAACGTACCGGCTTAGATATGGCGTTGTTCTTGAAAGGCAAAATTCTCCACGGCAACGACGAGGGCTGTTGAGACACAAATGCACGCCAACAGACCTTCTTCTTATTTGTGACGACCAGAGAATCCCACTTCTTTCTTCCTTCCTTCCGTCCCCCCCCCATGAGAACAGGGACATGCACGGAAGGAGACCTATACGATGTGCACACACAGACATACGGTATATAGAGAGAATATAAGGGAACTCGGGTGGTGACGGAACTAGGCCAAGGAGACGTGCATAGATCCCCTCATCAGGGTAAGTCCACATGCAGCCCACCAGCACTCCCCTGTGCAGAACCTGGGAGAGGTAAACAAATCCTCGGGGACTCGAAGAAGGAAGATTTCTAATTCAACTCGCAAATATACTTCCACGTCCGCAAAACAAACTGGGCTCATATACCAAGGAAAGTACCCCTCCATGTCTCTTACCCTTCTCGTCGGGGTCTGCAGGAAATGCCCACTTGAATTCTTGTGCGAATGTAATGCCCGCGGAAATATAAGGCTAAATACAAATTGCAAGACCAATTACCGTCGATGCCCGCAAATCAATCCTTAACTTCGGAGCTATTAAGGATTTCATTCATTGCGTATAAATCAGAGCAACTGGAATCGTGATCAAATATCAATGAGCATACTGTATTTACAATCGAAAGTCTTTAAGGCGATCAACTTCTAGGGGATCTTGCGGGGAAAGAAAGAAGAATTACGGTACAGGATACACAGTATACAGTATTGTAATTGTTGATAATATTATAGTATTTATAGGCCTTAAATTGCTTTTAAAATGAATTCACAGAGGACGCTGAACTTGGAGGCAAGGGTTCATTTGCCCACTTGGTTTTTCACTTCCTCTCAAAACACATAAATTATATTTACCCCTTTTCCATTTCCGGCGTCAATAAAATAATATCAGCTAAAAGGCCTCAAGAAAATTCGAGTTTTCTGAGTTTGAGAGGCTTTTAATGCAGGGTTCTGAAGGGAATTCAGAGTAGGACTTGAAAAAGTCGACATACTGTATACGGAGGTATTGGACTTCTTATATAAGCTATCGAGGTTCGACGGTACTTCCTATTATCCACACAGATCATCGCTTTTCTGCGTTTTTCAATCGAAATTTGTGAAATTTCAAGTACAATTTGGGAAAAGAAAGCTTTATTCCCACCGTGCTGAACAAAACGGCGTCGTTCGAAGTGGAATAAGTCGCAGGTCGCTGGGTAGTTTCCTTGCCACGATGCTCCGAATTCGCATGAAAGTATCGCTGCGTCATGGCGCCTTCTCCTCTTCGCTGTCGTTTTCCCCCCGTGTACATGTGGTGTACAAATCCAGCACAATGCCGTCCCCCTGTTGCCATGGGGGAAGCACGTCGATGCCGTCGCTCTTTTTATACACATGCCTGTCTGTCCATCCCTTCGCACAGCTCACCTCTGTATATATGCTAGATATGAAAAAAGAAAGTGTACCCGTCAGCATTGCAACTTCCTTTTCCGGGTGTGGCTCAAGCAACTCGGAACCCACTCACGCTCCTAGATTATCCAATGCTTCTTTTTCAAATACAGTATATATAAGAAGCATGATCAGCACCTGTGATTATGAGAGGAGGAAAAGAATACAGTACATACTGCGACACCATTCTCTGCCGCAGCGATCGAAGAAAAACTTGATGATTTTCAGCTGTATCGGAGAAATGCGACGGCTTGCTTCCCTCACTCCACAATTTTTCTGATCGCTGCCCTCATTGAAGAAATGCATGCTTAGAACGAACATCAAAATTAGGATTAATTGGTGCAGGTCCGCGTGATTCAATACATTCATTCGATCCTGATGTTAGCATTACTATCGAAGAATACTCAGCTCCTTCATATTTATGAAATTACTGTACACTGAAAGTCTTATTCCTCACATGTATTGAGGTTTGAATTGATTCCATTCATCGCAGTCAAAAGTTTGAATTGTCGGAACTCGGAGTTCATTTATGCAAACCTGAGTCACAATAAAGCGTGCAATGCTTTTCGATATACTGTACATATAAAGCATCAAAAGTCTTTGAACTTGACACACGCCAAAAATTTAAAAGCAAATTCTTCAATCACGAAAAAATTATGTCAAATTTACGAGTATTTGTCATATAAACTTAAATTCCAGCCGCATGTCGGGTGTCAACCACCGGTGCAGCGATAACACTCCAGCATATGTGGAAGCATTTTTTCGAGTGCTTGCTGCTGATGGAAAGGGATTTGGAGGGGAAAAAGAATGAATCCTTGAAGCGCGGTTCTTGAGCCCGCCGGCCGCCGAAACAAAAGCCACGCTCATGCGGTTCAACGAAGTTTCAGAAAAGTTGCTTATCAAAACCATGACAGGGTGGTGTGTTCTTGCCTGTTGCTGGGCTCTATTCTATACACGAATCAATCTCCTGTGCCGTGAGGGGCTCACAAACTCACTTTCGATTCCACTGCACACGCCTTTATACTGCGAGTATGTAGTAGTCCTTTCTCGTCTTTCAGGTCAGCCACAATTCGCGTTCGGTTGGTCAATTTAAAAATGGATGAATCAAGTCCAAAGGCACCATCGAGAAGTATGCTGCATAAAATTGACACATTTACATCAAGCAAAAATCAGCGCGCCCTTGCGGTACTATGGAGAATTGGTAATAACTGTACATCTGATCTCAAACTGTGAATCATACGTACCCTCTACACTTGATGTCACTTGCAGCTTTGATGTTGTCGAAGGACTGTACAGAACCATGAAATGGTCGTCGAGGTGAAAACTGTTCCTAAAATTCGTACCCATCACAAATTCTTTTAGTGATAGAGGTAACAGCATATTCACCTACAACCAGAAAATGAACGTGCGCCGCACAAAATGCTGAGGGGTGCCTAATGAGCCATGCTTGTCATACGAAGATTATCCCAAGTATGCTTAAGGTTCGGATGCTGAAAGTTTGACACATGGCGGAACTTTTCTTTGTAGAACAAATCTTAAAAGTAAATTAACGACTGTAATCAACAAATTTTTCCTCATCCATTCTTAATAAATTTCTGAGACTTATTCTTTCTAGCTTTGGACAGGATGGGGATTGGGGATCCACCACGTTTGCGTCCATAATTGATGACGAAGAGGGACTTACTGATGTACAGTACTCAACAAATGTAGTGTTGAAAGGGTTTTCGGCAATCAG